TTCAGAAGTCATTTTTGGGGGGAGCATGTTTGAAATTTGCTGGTTGGCAGGTTAGGAACTACTCGGCCAAAGGGGAGAAAAGCCAGCAGGAGAACCCCAAATGTTATTCCTGGATGCTGAGGAGGATTTCTGGTGTGTGCATTTCATCAAAACACACAACTAGGCATGGGAAAAAAAATCTACAGCATAAGAAAATGGGAGAAAACAGTCATTGTTCGTGCTGTCAGTCATTCACCGTGTCCATTTCTAGATGGATTTAGTGAGAAGGAAGTTTACAAAGAGGATGCAAGTTGTTTTGGGTGAACCTAATTGTGCCAAGCCAAAAGGCATTAACCTTTCTAAAGGATCACTGCTGCTCCCAAAATATTCACCTGTTGGTCCAAACAAAGGTCTCTGTGTGCTGATTTAAATCCTGGTTAGATCTGATGATTTGAAACCATAGTTTTATTCCCTGTACCCTGTTTTCTCTGTGCATTGGGGCCCTTTCCTGGTGACTGCTTCTGTGCCTGTGTGAAAGAAGGATGAAGATGACAGCAGCACCTTGAAACCTAAGTGTTTCAAGAAGATTTTGGCATATTGTATCCCTGAAATATCCTAGGACTACTGGGAAATGTTATTTTTGGACTCTTGATTTTCACAAGGCTGGTACAATTGGTGAAAGACTTTCACAGCTGGAAATGTAGTAGACTGTTGAACTGTGAAAACACTGCCTTGTTTTACTTTATGTAACTTGTTAATTCCCTGACTGGAAGAAGGGGAGAGCTAGTTCCCAGTTCCTGGAACAGAGTGTTGATGTTGCTTGTTGTTAATCAAGCCCTGGGCTTTGCCTTGACTGCTCTGTGCTCTCCTAGGAGTGTAGGACTAAAGCTGTTTCCATTGAGAGGAGCTGAATTTCCATTTGATTTCCGAGCCGAGTCGTTCCCGTGTTGTTCTCCCATTGCGGGCATGCTGGAATGTGCCCATTAAAACCCCCTTGTCAAGGAGTTTCTATTATATGCCAGCAAATAGCAGATCTGAAAACACACCCAACAGAGCAACAGCTCCCCGTTTGCCAGAGATAAAACATCAAATCCAAACCGAATGGACTCTGGGAATCCTTTATGTGTCTCTGAGTTCCTTTCATCTCCTCATGGCTCCGTTAATGGGTATCCCCACAGACCCTGCAGTGCTCTCTCTGCTTCCCCCTCCGTTCAGGCTTCTCCTGCCAATTGCCTGGCATTGTCAAATAATTGGAGTGGAAATGACAAGTGAAAGCGGGGCTGCGGCCATGCCAAGGCTCCTCGCCTGGCAGCCGGTGGGTGATGCTGGTAATTGTTAGCAAAAGTGTAATTGCTCCGGGCTCTGCCTGCGATTTCAACAGAGCAGCCTGCAGTTCCTCCTCTGAGACACCCGATCCCTGCCTTTTCTCTGTGGTCCCTGGCACAGGAACGACTTGGGAGGTAAATCCGACCTGGCACTTGGACCTAGGGAGCTCCCTTGGGGTTTCTCCACGTGGTGTGGCCTCCCAGCTCCGCACAGGAGAGTTGGGTCTCTCTCTGTCTGGGGACAGAGCAGCCTCTGGGAGAGTTCATCCCAGAATCCCAGAATAGCTGGGGGTGGAAGGGAGCTCTGCAGATCACCCAGTCCAACCCCCAGCCGAGGCTGGGTCACCTGGAGCAGGTGACACAGGAATGAGTCCGGGTGAGTTTGGTCCCAGGGCAGCTGTTCCACCTGGTGAGCTCTGCCACCCTCATGGAAAGAAGTTCTTCCAGATGCTGAGGAGGAACTCCTCGTGTTTTAGTTTATGGCTCTTACTTGTCCTGTCACTGGGCGCACCGAAAAGTCTGGCACCATCCTATTGACACACCTTGGAGATATTTGTATGGATTGATGAGATTCAGTCTCCAGCTCCTCCAACCCCACCTCCTGCAGTCTCTCCTGATGAGAGAGGTGTGCTGGACCCCTCATCATCATCATCAGGTGATTTGTGGGGTACAGGATAAGCAACAACCCCCTCGTTTTTGGTGTGACACCACAAATGCGCAGCTCGACCCCTGGCTGACATGAAGGCTGCAGCTGGGCTCTGCTGGCTTCACCCTGCTGAGCAATTGCAGCAATGCCACCACCCCAGTGACCGGCTTTACAGCTCCTGCGTGCTGCAGGGGACAGCCCAGCTCCCAGTGACATTTTAGGGATGGACTGGATATTTTCAGGAAGCCGTAAGAGCTGGAAAGGGGACACAAACCAGCTGTTGTGTGCTTCTTATTTTGCCAGTCTCTGCACCAGAATAGCACAGACTGTTATCTGGTGGGACGATATCCCCTGCTGAGTGGCACCTGATTAAATTACGGAGGCTTTTTGCATATTAATAGCAAGCAGACTGGTTATTTTTGATTGGTTGGGTGGGTTTTTGGTTTTTTTTTTTTTGCTGAGGCAGAAGAGGGACAGGTGCAGCTGTGTGAGGTTACGATAGCCAGTTGAAGAAGCAGCAGTGCAAGGGATTTAGGTCTTTCTGTGCTCTGGTTAATGTGACAGGGTGACAACAGCAAACCAGGAGCGCTCACAGGTGCTCTGGCCTCCCTTTGCTCAGTGTCTGCTCTTCATCTCTTTAGCTTTCTTCTTTGCTTTTACTGCTTGTTGTGTTCTTGCCTCCTTCTTTTATCTTTCTCTCCCCTGTCTTTTTCTAAATCCTCATCAGTATTCTCCAAACCCATCACATGCTCACACTGTGCTCCCGCGTCTCCAGCTTTATCTCATTTTGTCTTGGACTGGGTCTCTGCAGGCTCGAAAGGTTTGTGAGAAATTCTTGTTCTTTTGGCCCCTGTTCTGCAGCCTGGCCCAAGTAATGTGGATGTATCTCTTCTTGCAGCATGGTGTTTTAAAATTCAGTTCAGTTCAATTTGAATGAGGTATCATTTCTTCTTTTGATGTAGGGAAATCCAGGGAATTAATAAATTATAATGGCTCTACTTGGCGCTTAAGGAGTGCTTTCCATCTTCAAAGCGCCCTTGGTGTGGTATTTCATTATTTATACTGTTAATTATATTAGTTATTATAAGGAAAAAGCCCTTTAAATTGTCATAGATAAAAATACGCTCTCAACAGGATTGGAATCCAGCACTTAGATTGCAGCAGATAATTTGTCCACTGAGGTGCAGAGCCTTGAGGAAGACGTCAGGTGGATTTCCAGCAGTTCTTTAAGCACTTACTGAAAAAAGTCTTGCTTCATGTTTAGAACTCTGTTGCCTGGGAGCTTTGAAGTGTCCTGGTACTCGCTGGGCGAGCACTAACAAAGCCTCACAACAGGACAGATAGGCGGGATCCACACCTTCCAAACTGGACTTCAGGTCTATTGCCAGGAATCTTAAGCTAAATATTGAATTGTCCAAAGACCTGCACGCTGAGACCTGTGAAGTGCTTGGAAGGCTCTCATATCCCAGAAAATCTGGTGGTAGTTTCCTGACTATTAAGTAGATATTGAATTATTAAAAACTCTGCAGAGAAGTGTCGGTTTTGATCCCGTACCTGGCAAAAGGAATTTAAAAGCAGCTGATTTGAGCCCAGAGACAGGAGCCAGCCTGCTTGGGCTATGGTAGAAGCCAGGGGGGAAACAAGGAGAGCAAAGAAGAGGGGTTTACTTATACAAGCCTGTGCATTTAAGTCTCAATATGTGAGTAAGGGTGGCTCTGTGTTCCTGAGTGGGAATTACCCTCCCTCTTTGCCTTACCCCGAGGGGCTGTGCACTTTCTAAGGTCAGCATTGCCACCTTCCTTCCATTAACAGTGAATCTCCCACCTTCCTTCCATTAACAGTGAATCTCCCGAATTTTCTGACGCTTCTGGAGCATTTATAACCTTTGCATGAGCCTTGCCACAGAGAGGAGTGCAGTTTGATCTGGGAGAAATGCTTTCAGAAAGCAGGGGAGAGACACACAAGGAATTTTTTTGCCAAGTTTTTAGCCGTCCCGCTATTTGCAGATTGATGCTCTTGATCCAGCACCCCACGGAAGTACCGGAGCAAGTGGCCTGGTTTTTCAGGATATTTATTCTCTCATTAAGCGGCCTAATGGGCCTTTAAGGCACATTTCTGTATTTTATCATTATGTTTAACAGTTTTAGTAGTTAGCTGCCTTTAAGGCACATTTCTGTATTTTATCATTATGTTTAACAGTTTTAGTAGTTAGCTGTAAATGTGCTCATGGCAGTCAGCTGTTAATCATCCTTCCTAGCTTAATTTGCCAAAGTCCTACTTTGCACTGTGAGTAAATTGAAGTAAATCGCTGCACGGCCGAAGCGAGCAGCAAGCTCTGGTCTCCTTGCAAATCCCTTTGAAACCAGGCTCGATGGCTGGGATAGGGGCTGTCCATCCTTCCCAGGAAAACATCCTGGCTGGTGTCAGTTTGGGGTTGTCTAGCTGAAAACGGCGTTTCAGATGAGAAACTGATCCTCCTCTTCCCGTGTTCTTGTGGAGGCAGCGTGGGATGGCGACCTCAGCGCGGGGGGAACGGAAGGGGTTCAAGCAGGGGTGGTGAAAACACCTGGTGAATTAGCTGTGGGTGTTCCAGTTGGGTGCACTGATGTGCTGTTTGCACATCTGTCCCGCTCTCTGCTTGGCCAGAGTCTCCTCCGTGGTGCTTTGGGATCGACGTGCCCGGGTGGAGCCCGCTCGTACCTGGCCACGTGTCCGGGGGTGGGTTTCCCTCAGAGCCACCTCCGCTGCCTCAGCATGACCTGCGATCGAGCTGCAGTGTGGACAGGCTGAACCTGATCACAGGGAGGTTTTTCAAAGCTCTTGTACCCACCTGGAGTTCTTGGAGGTTGGATTATCTTGCTGTCAGGGCTGATTATTGGCCATGCACGGCCTTGTCTTTCAGCTGCGTGCTGGAAGCTGTTGAGTGAGAAGTGGGCCTGATAAGCGTGTGGGAGGGAGGGGGCCTCTGTTGCAGTCTGCCTGTGGAGCTGTTTTGTTCAAACAGGACGTGCCTTGTGCTGCACGGGTCTCGTTTCCAACTTCATTTGCAGAATAACACGTTCTGGAAGCCGGATTCTTGCCAAGACTGCCGATGCCGGAGCAGTGTTGTCACCTGTGAGCCTACAGCCTGCAGAGCCCCTCAGTGTGACTTCCAGAAGGTAAGGGGCGAGCGTTTGTGGCTGCCCAGAGCCAGGCACAGGCTCTGTGTCCTTGTGCTCCTCCTTGGAGTGAAAACATGTGCTGTGAGAAGCCTTTGTCCCCCTCGCTGCGTTCCAGAGGCCGGGTGTCGGAGCAGCTCGATCCCAAAGGATGCCCCTGAACTGGGCTCGAACCTCCCAGCATGAGCCCAGCTTCCAGTCCCCCTTGGTTTGGAGGTGGGGCTGGGGCTCCCTGGAAGGTGCAGATGGGCACTTTCCACTCTGCTGAGCAACAACAGAGCTGAGATTGTCTGTCTTCCCATTTCTTCTTCCTCGTGATGGTTGCTGAGCTCTCCTTGTCTCCTGCTTGTCTTTGTCTGGGTCTTCATTAATTGGCCATGGAATTGGTCTTGCATTAACATCTGGATTGCTGGGGTAGAGTGCACAAATAGCAGTGAAAATGAGTGTTTTAAAGAGGCTGTCAGTATAATTATATGGCTTTGTGAAGCAGGTTAAAATGTTTCCCAATATGACAGCACTAATGAGGAAGTAGTTTTGATTCTTACTGGTTTTCCCTGTTATTATTGCTGTATGTTGGTTAAAGCTAGACTGAACTATTAGGAATTTTTGTGCTAAAGAGGAGGGAAATCGAGTGCTGTCGTGGCACACCTGATAATGAGTGCACTAGATAAAATGATAAAAATCAGATAAATGAAAAGGTGGTAACTTGAAAGCTCATAAAGGGAAATAGGTTTATAGTGTGAAAGGAATCTGTGTGACTCCTTGACGTGGGCAATCTTCAAGACCCAAAGTTTAAGTGTTCCCAAAAGCATCTGGCCATTCAAGCATGGAAAAGGGTCACCAGGGATCTCTGAAGAAGAAAAATCCTTTCATGCTTCAAGGCTGAAACACCAAAGAAAAGCAAAGTCAGAAATCACTGTCCCTCTCCATGGTTTGTTTCTTATCTACTCCTTATGAGGTTTATTAGCAAATATTGCTGATCTTGTTTCAGCAACATCTGTCCCATGTTTCTCAGTGGCCTTTCAGTGAAGAATCTTGAGTTTTGTCTTGAACAAGTGTTTTCTATTCTTTGAAAACTTGGTTCAGCTGAAAAATTCCCAGCTGTACTCTTGGGGAGGTGTCAATTCTGCTGTTATTTTGAGGGTAAAACATCAAGTGCACAAAGTGCTGTGCCACCTCTCAGCAAGGGGACGTGGTGTAGCAGCATTCTCTGTTTCACTAGAAACCTTTCTGAGCTGAGAGCACCAGGTCCAGCAGGACCTCCTGTTAAAGTCCCTGTTTGATGGCAGCTGTTCATTGGAATCCTGTCTTCTCATTTTAGGGAGAAGTGCTCCAAATAGCCTCCAACAAATGCTGCCCCGAGTGTGCCTCCCGAGCCAAAGGATTCTGCCAGCATGAAGGACAGATTCACAGCGTGAGTGCTCCATCCACCTTCTCAGCAGGGACAATCCTTGCCTGTTTGTTCCAGCCAGTGGAGGATTCTGAGCTGGTGTGCAGGGGAAGGATAGATCATCACATTTATATCCTGTCACTGTCAGATGATGGAATTTAGCAGGAGTTTGGTCAGCAGGATGTGCAAAAAGGGAATGTGTTGCTGAGCAATTATGTCTCCTGCACTACTTAATGGGAGAAATTTCCCCACTTGTTCCTTCCTTTTGCTGTTTCTGTGGATGACTGAGACAGTGCAGTGACATCAGGAGGGGAGCAGAGCACAGTGGACTTGACATATTAGCTGTGCTTTTCTCTCAGCAGCCATCTGTGCTGCCGGAGATTGATTGCTGCTCTGCGACCTGGGTTCTGCATTCTGTAATCCTGAATTATTCAAGAAGCAAGTTCTGGGATGTGGTTTCACCTAAGGGGGTTGAAAGGCCAAAACAATCAGAATAAGTGTCTGGAGATAAGAAAAAAAATCAAGATTCATGGGTAGTAGTTAATGAATCATGTCAAACAACTGGCAAATGCAGAAAAATGGCTTAACAGCAAACTCAAGTCCTATGTGTGGTCTCTTACAGACTTTTCTGTTTGACAAGAGGCAAGTCAGGTCCAAATCTCCAGAAATATGCTAGAGTGCCCAGACACATGTGGGCTGTACTCTCCACACCTGAGATGGATGTTGTAACCCTCGGTTCCAGCATGAGCTGTGGCCAGCATGAAGCTGGTAGGAGCTAAACAAAAACTGGAACAGGAGGGATATCACACCCATCCCCTTCTCAGGTTTCTTTGTGCCTTGGTGGCACTATGGTGCCGAATTTGGTGGTACTGTGTCTCCTATCATAATGCATTTTATTTCCTCTTGTGCTATTTCTGCATTTTCCTGTGCTGTTCTCTTGCTGCAGCTTCTGTCTTTTGGCTGTTTCTGAGCCTCTTCTTTGGGTAGGCATCCCCACAAGAAGAATATGTTCCTAGATGTACCTACAATCACATTTCACATCCCAGTTCTACTGTCACAGGGTCAGAAAGCCACTTGTCACCAGTGCTAAGTCTCATCCTTGAGAGAGGAGGAGCTTGAGAAGGGAGAGGACTTACTTGCAGGTCTCACTGTGCTTTCTGTGTCCTTTTTGTCTCGTGTGCAGCACGGCACGCAGTGGACCAGCTCGGGATGTGTCCGGTGCTCCTGTGCCCACGGGAAGGTGACCTGCAGCCCCAGGACCTGCCCAGCCCTCAGCTGTGGGCAAGGGGAGCTGCAGGACACTGCCCAGGACTCCTGCTGTCCCAAATGTGTGGGCCGTGGTGGTGAGTACTGTCTGGTTCCATTGATCTGAGCTCAGAACCTCCTTCTGAGCCCCAAATCTGGAAAGCTTTTCTTTTCTTGTTCACTTTTGTTGGGAAGACACTAGGGGCAGGCATGTCTCTTAATTCCCTTTCTGTCCTGCTGCCACATTTACATTTTTAAAGGCTTCTCCCATGGGCTGGGAGTGGGGACATGCTTTAAGCACTGGGAAGATGTGCATAATGTGTCCTCATTTTGGAGATTAAAATTGGGGGAAAAAAACTCAGGTATTTCCTAGGCACTTGGACTTGGCGAGTTCCAAAAATGCTTCTTCAGCTGTTGGATGCCTTTTCTTGTAGAGTCCCAGTGGGAGAAGTGCATCCTTAAATCGCAAGCTCCTTGGAAACTGGTGGAGTTGTTACCCTCTTCACCTGCTTTGACAAACTACAGATTTGAATTCTGAGATGGACAAAAGCTGTGTTTTCATGATGGGTGACAGAAAAGGATTCAAGGGTGTTGGAAAATAAACGTTCCCCTTGTTTTCCTGTCCCTTAGAGCCTTGCTCCTTCGATGGCCACGTGTTCCAGGACGGCGAGGGCTGGAGCCTGGGCCGCTGCTCCAGATGTGTCTGCAGGGATGGTGCAACTCTGTGCTCCACAGCTTCCTGCCAGCCTCTGCTCTGCAGCCAGGTCAGGACCCTCCTGCCTTCTAGGAAATGTTCCTCAGCACCTCCTTTTCCTTGGGCAGTCTGCATTTCTCGTGCTGGGGACCAAATCAGCAGGCAAAGCTTCTGGGTGACGAGTGGGTGATGTGGAAAAGAGATATTTGACCTGCAGAAATGGTGTGGACTGATGATGAAGCCTGTGTGTCTCTTCCCTGGTATCTTCTTTCCCCAGCACTTTATTTTTATCATCCCTTTGCTGGTTAATTAGGCACAAATTCTGTTTAAAGAAATTGCTTTTTTGTTTTCTACCCAAAAAACATGATCTGGAATTGATCAGGAAATGTTTCTATTTCTGTTGAGCGAAGGAAAGAAAGCACAATATTTATAACAGGGTTTATCTTCACAAATTTCAGTGTTTAGTTTGCAGCTGGAAAGTTTGATTTGCAAGTCTTGTTACTTTTTTTTTTTTGTACAAGAGCTCTAGAAATGCTTCTGAGGATAGGCAGCTGTGGATGAAATTCCCCTTTTGCCTTCAGGAGTTCAGAAATACAAGGCAGAAAAGTCTCAGAGCAGGGTTCCTTCCGTGTGTTGGTGTTTAGGAAACAACAAAACTGGGAAGAGGAGTTAGGCAAGCTCATGGTTTTAGTCCAGTTAGGAGAACAGAGGGACATTGCTGTTTCCCAGGTCTTTGCTGTGCACAGGTGATGAGTTTTTAGCATTTATGCACGGATCAACACAGCCAAAACCCTACAAGACTCTACAGAGTGTTCACACAGGGTTAGTAAAGGCAGCAAACTGTACACAGTACTCCAGACTCTGGGAAAATCAATTTTTGGACTTCTTGTTATTGTATTCCAAGTGCTGAAGGGTGTGACTGTGCTCTTTGGGTCTTTTTCATTGGGCCCATTGTACCCTGGTTTTGGGCCCCTTGGTGTACTCCTTTGCAACAGCACGCCTGGAGCTGGCTCCCTGGAAATCCTCATCTCTGACCTGATGTTTTAGGGGCTGCCATTTTCCAAGTACTTTTAGGTCTGTTACCACACTCCAGTGACAAATCCAGAAGCTCCCTGACTGAGAACTCTTCACTAAGTAAATCAAAAGCAGTACTCATAAACTTTTTTTTTTTTGCTTCTGTTGATGCTTTCCCAGCTTTCTGTTACTGGACCAGATGTTTGGACAATTAGCACTATTTTTTAAAATTTATTTTTATTTTTTGGATAGAAGAAACCCCACCTGTTTGTGTGTGTGTGTGTGTTAATTGTGTTTTGCTTTGTCCTGAGATATTCCATTAGTGTTCATTTACTAAGTACTCTGCATGAAAACAGATTTATGCTTGCTCTAGATCCCTCCTTTCCCACTCCAAGTGGACTGGTGTAACCTGCTGAGCCATTGCACTAATGTTTAATCAGCTAATCATTAGGATCTAATTGGTGGATTCAGGAGTGACTGTGTTGTTGCTGTGATGTATTTGAGAGTAATTGGCTGGCAGCATCCAAGTTAATGCAGCAGAAAGCCAATTCTGATGGTGTTCCAGATATTTCCTACCAAGGACATTTCCCGGTGGAAGGGACGTTAGCAGGATGTGCAAGGAACCTCTTCTGATCTCAATCAAAGCTCAAATTTCTTGCATGGGCCTTTATCTCTGTCCCTTCCTTTGTTCTCCACTCCATCAAAAGCCAAGACAGAAATTCTCCCGGGATTAAACTCTCATCTTCCATCTTTCAGATGGCTTTGCTCTTCCCTAAGTGCTGAGGGAGAAGAATGCCAAAAATCCCTGTTGCATGCCACCAAAATACACAAAAAAAGGTCTTTTGACTCTGGTGGGAAATCTGTCCTTGGTAACTTTGGCACAAAGTCTTCCACTCTTTCTTTGGAAGCCCAGGATTTGACTGATGGAGAAGATGAGATGGTGGTGCTTGACATTTCTACTGTAATTCCAGGGTCTTCTGATCATCCTGGCGTGGCTGGAGGGAGGTGCTGATGAACAGTGCTAAAATGCAGTTTTAAGCATAATTTAACATCTGCACAGACAGTATGGATGGATTTAACTAAAACAGTGCAGATGCCTGAGAGGTGGTGAGTGTAAATCACACCTTCCAAACCTCAAAATGTGGCAATTCCAGAAAAAAAACTTCTCTCATCCATCTCCTGCTTTATTGTGCTTCCCTGCATAGCTGTATATTTATTTTTTCCCCCTGTGTATCTGCATGCCTGAATATGAGTACTTTATGTCATGTGTATGAATTTATCTGCATCTCTCCATGTATTCAGACCTCAGCTGCCACCTAAATAAGCCCAGAAAATGAGGTGGAGAAAACATCTTTCAAGCCTTTTGCTCTGCCCTTGTGCTGCTTTTCAGGCCAAAACAAAACCCTGAGTGGCAGTGGGTTATCCCATGGATGCTAAATGCCTGGAATTCCAAGCACTGATGCTGACCCACATGTTAAGTGTTCATTCTTTCTTCTCCTTGTCTCTGCCTTCTGTTTAGGAGGAAGTCATGGTTCTGTCTCCTGGAAAATGCTGCCCAGAATGTGTCCCAAAGCCCTGCTCCGTGTCAGGAAGAACGTTCCAGGTGACTTGTGACAAACCACACCAAAACCACTCACAATTCTTGGCACATCTCTCTTTCCCTTCTCCCCAACCTCTGACTTGCTGCCAGCACTGAGAGCTCAGTACAAACACTGCTTTTTTCCCCTCCTGGAAAGGCAGGAGAGTTGTAATCCATCAGGCCTAGATAAGAATTTGCTGGCCAGCAGGAAAGGAAGTTTGCTGGGCCAAGCAAATGAGGCACTTTTCTTTTCACACTTGCTTTGAAGGAGGAAAGCAGAAAGCACTGGTGGTCAAAGTATTTATAGCTTTCATTGTGTCATCTGAAATTAATGGAATGCATTAGTCAATGAATGTATGTATGTGGGATTTTCTGTCCATGATTTTTTTTTTGGCTAATAATAGCAGTGCAGACCTCCCCAACACCACTAGCTTGCAATGAATGAGAAATACACACCCACAGTGTCATCTAGACCTCAGTCCCTCTTCATCCTGTTTGCTGAGCATGTAGAGATCAGCATTTGTTTAAGAAAAGTTTATTATCTGATACAGACGTGCAGAAGGAGCCATCATATTCCATAAGCAGCTCAGGTTTCTGGAAGGAATTTGGTTGTTTTCCAAGAGTGTTTAACAACTGCATCCATGTTCTTTTTCAACAGCACGGGGAGCAGTGGCAAAAAAATGCCTGCACTGCGTGTGTGTGTCAGAGAGGAGAAGTGAGATGTCTGAGGGAGACCTGTGGCTCTGTCACCTGCCAGAAGGTACCGAGAAATCACCCACCTCTGATGCCCCAGCTGCACCTTCTGCTGTGCCAAGGGCTTCAGGCAGCCCTGCTCACTGCTGGCTGGTGCTTTTAGGGGGAGAGCAAGGTGCAGCGCCCCGGGAAGTGCTGTGAGGAGTGCGTGTCTTCCAAAGGGAGCTGCTTGCACGGTGGCACCGTCAGGTACCACGGAGAGATGTGGAACAGCACCAGCTGTGACTTCTGCCTGTGCCAGGAGGGACAGGTCACCTGCCAGGGAGCTGAGTGTGCCAAAGTGGAGTGTGCCAAGGTGAGAAAGGCTTTCTTCTGCCAGGATGGACCTGTCAAGTCTTGGGATTTTTATTTTTTTTTCCCCACCTCCCTTTCTGTTTTTTCTCAGCTTGAGACACTGGCCCTTGTTTTGTGCAGTCCCCTCAAAAACATTTCACAGGGAAGGAGGGCAAACCTGGAATTTCCCATGCAAGTTTGCACAGTGGGCTTCCATTGTGAAGCAAACCAGTGACTGATTTAACTTGGATTCCCTCCCGTGCTGTGTGTGCCTGCTGTAGTGGAGGATCAGACACACAGAGGATTCAGTGGTGATGGCTGGATTTACCAGGAGCTGAGCATGGGGAGAATGTGCAGGTCAGAGATGGTTAAAAGCCTAAGAAACGTTCCTTTTGTCCTCCTCGTGTGTGCTGCAGTGGCCTTCAGTGAGGCAGCTGGATATGGAAGTCAGTGTTGTACTTTCCTTCATTTCTTCCATGCCACTCTTAGCATGGAAGTGAAACTGGCAAGGTATTTTATTCCCATTGCTGTTTGCTGCAAAGCTAATACCCTCCCTGCCAGGTTCTGTTCTATTTGCTCTGCAGTGGATGTGCAAAATGCATTAGATAGGGTCAAATGCTTCACCCACACAGGTACAAAAATGCTTTGAATTGGCTTTTTTTTGCAGTGGGATTAGACTTGTGCCTTGTTTGTCACTCAGCACAGGCTGAGAGGATTGGGGTTGCTCAGCCTGGAGAGGAGGAAGCTTTAGGGTGACCCAATTGTGGCTTTCCAGTACCTGAGGGGCTCCAAGAAATATGGAGAGACTTTTTACAAGGGTCTGGAGTGACAGGATAAGAGGGGAATGGCTTCACAGTGGCAGAAAGTAGTTTAAACTGGATATTAGGAGCAGGTTGTTCCCTTTGAGGGAGGTGAGGCCCTGGCACAGGTTGCCCAGAGAAGCTGTGGCTGCCCCTGGATCCCTGGAAGTGTCCAAAGCCACTTGTCCCTTCCAACCCAAACCATTCTGTGATCTGTTGCAGTTGGTGGGCTCTTACCTGTTTTATACCTACTGCTCCACAGTGTCAGTGAGGAAAAGGGAAAGAACTGTGGCCTCCTGGGTTTTCTGTCTCAGTGATGATGCTTTTTCTGCTGCTAAATCTTGAACAGCAGCACCCTTGTGGTGTGTCTGAGGTCCAACCAAAACCCAGACATACCAGTTCCACGGGATAACCTTGTTTTAATGAGTGTTCAAAGGAGTGAAAATCCACACACAGACTCCCAAACTGTACAAAAAAAGGGTGTATCAAGGTGTAAAAAGTGTGTGTTCAGCTGTGACCGTGCCTTTGAAACAGCCAAAACTCAGTGAGCCTGGGACCCAAAGTCACCCCTGCCACGGGTGATCACACAGCCTGAAACTGCTCAGAGAGATTTTTGTTTTTTTTGCTGGATGAAAAGTCGTGGTTGTCATAAAATCTCGTGCACTTGCAGCTGTTTGAGCGAGCTGCCTTCGTGCTCCTGGCTGTAAATTGGATCATTTACACTAATGATGATGGCGTGCTGTCATGGCTCAGTGGGGAGGATTAGTTAATATTCATGCTCACATCTTGGGTACTGACAAAAAAAAATTCCATTATTCAGAAAAGCCAGGGGTGTTTTCCAGGACAGGAGCTGGAGATGTTAACCTGTAGGGTTCAGGACTCCTCAGGTCATGCTCATTCCTAGTTTGCCTCAATAGTGCAAGGTGTGCATTAATTAATTACAAAAAAATATTTATTCAAAAAACAAATTCCATGTTTTCTTTTTCCTTTGTATTTTCCTTGTGAAGTTGCAGGTCTGTTTATTGTGGCACCTGCCTCAATAAAATCAGAGCCCATGAGAAGCCAGGAGCACTTGGATTTCTCTCTTCATACGGCACTGATTAATTTCCTGGTCACATCATCCTACTGGAAGTGTAATGAGGCCACAGATAGGAACTGTGAGAGGTTTAGCTCCAAACCCTTTCAAACAAACTTGTCCAGCCAAGTGTCCGTGGTGATTCTGACCTAATCCTCAAAAAGCTGTTTTCAGCAGGCTGTGAGCACGTTCTCAACCTGGAATATGATCAATCTCTCTGCAGCAAAGCCACAACTTATCTCCCACAGCCTCTCCCTTTTCTGAGCCTTGGCAGAGCAGCATAGCTGTGTTTTTCTGGGCTAGGCAAGCCGTGCTCCGTGGATAGTCGCTCCCAGTTCTCCTGTAGCCTGTGTTTGTGGATGTGGGTGGGAGAGTTTACAGTACACAGTAGTGACATGAGAGCCAAGCCCTGCCAAAGGCATTTTGGAGTAATTGAAGAGCAGAAATGTGTAGAAGCAGCTGAGGGAGGTTTAGGCCGTGTGTGGTCCTCGGTGACTTAAGAAACCAGATGGTTCCTCCTCTGGCATCCCCTGCTCAGGAATGCACCAGGGATGTCAGAGTGTGTCACTTAGATGTTCTCCCTTAGTGCACCTAACAATGAGCAGTGCTGGTGTCACCCTGTCTGTGCCTTTAATAATTCCCCTGCAAAAACTGAGTGTGCCAGTGTGGCACAGGGAAAATTATCCTGGAGCAGGATTGGCATAAATCAGAAGAACTACCTGGTAATCTTGGAAACCAAAGCTGTTTCTTGTGAGCTGTGTCCCGGTTCCCTAGGAAAAAGAGTCTCTCTCTTTTCTAAATATTCAGCTTCCACTTGGGCACAAAGAGTTGTGGTGAATTGGGGCACTTTATTCCTTTTTTCTGCTGCTAAATTCTTATCTTCAGACTGAAGTTATTTAAGTGGAATCTGCGGAGCTGTACAGTTGTGACAAAGAACAGGCTTTTTCCATCTGGGATAAATAGAGCATGTGCTTTGAAATTCTCTGGGGGAAGTAAAAGTAGAACATTCAAAATGAAGGTAAGCCTCTATGCATTGAAATCTTGAGGTTGGTCCGGTGAAATCCTAGTGATCCATGGAGAAGAAGGGGGAGTATTTCTCTGCGGGATTTAGGGATGAAGTAATGGCCTTATCGCTGAATTCCGAGCCCTTTTCTGAGCTTTCTTCAGCAACTGCAATATTGGCTAAGCACATTTTTCAAACTATACCTGCAGAGATGAAGTGGGATACAGAGAAGATAAGGTGAAATTAGATATTGGAGATTGCATTCCAGGGCAAGAGCTGTTCTGCCTCGGCATTCCACAGCGGTTTTGGCGATGTCGATTCCCTTGGAATTGCTGCAACCTTTTCTCTTCCTCACAGGGTGAAGAATTAATTCACTTAGAGGGGAAGTGCTGTCCTGAATGTATCTCCAGCCGTAGTTACTGTGTTTACAAAGAACATACCAAAGCTGTGAGTATCCTTGTACTTTGCAGCAGGGAATAGAGAGTTCTGCTCACAAAGGTTTGGAGGGCTTGGCTCTCCCTCTTGATATTATTTGCAAGTGTTAGCAGAAAAATAATCCATTGATATCGTCTGCAGATTGCTTTTGCAGTTTGCAGAAACACTCGTGTGCATTGGCTGCAGAATTTCACTTTTCTTTGGTCTCCTTTGTGCAGCTCAATCAATCATTTCTCTTTAATATTTAATATCCCTGCTCAGAGGTTTCCTGCACATTTCATAAAGATTGTTGATTTTAATCCCATCAAGTAGAAGCTACAGAGCTGGAGCAGTGTGTAGCTTTCTGACAATGTACCCCACTAATTATAATCTTTACAGCAACAGGAGCCCATTATTAATATGTTCAAGGAACTTCCCTCTGAAGTTAAAGAGAAAGGAAACATTGATTATCTCAGTTTAAATATACCAGTGGTGGATTTTTCCTTGCCCCCACAGATGAGCACTGGAGCTGACAGCTGCTCTTTGCCAACAGATGCGGGAAACGAGAAATTTAATATTGTTCGGGGCTTTTTTAACATGCTGAGCCTTTCTTTGCTCAGATCCCTTTCCCTGCCCCAGGTCAGGTAAAACACTAAGGTGGGAGCTTTTTTCCAGGTGTTGCTTTGTCGTTTCTGAGAGAGGAGCTGGTTTTGTGAGCATTTAAAATGCCTGCTTGTCTCTTTTCTGCGGAGCTCTTCATCCCTGTGCTGTTTCACCTGGCCATCTCTACACCTGCCAGATCCACTCAGCACCGAGGCTTTCCCTGGCTCCTGAAGCTGTGTTTGTTTCTCCTGCAGAACGGGGAGACCTGGGCAGAAGGGCCGTGCCGGGAATGCGAGTGCAGGGATGGGGATGTGACCTGCTTCCAGCGCTCCTGCCCGCCCTGCCCGAGGGGCAGCCGGCCTCTGGAGGCCAAGGGAGACTGCTGTCCACGCTGCCAGCCAGGTACAGAGCCAGGGAAATCCTTCTTCTGGAATCCCTGCAGCCTTCACTGCCCCAGCAGCACTCTGATCCCCTGTGGAATCTTATCTTGTCTCCACTTTTCAGTTGCTAATTAACTCGTTTCCATACAATTTAGTTCCTAGATAAGTTTGAGACTCCCAGTGACTTCCCCTGATTTAAATGGCAACTTTATTTTGGCATAAGAACTTCTCCTCAGGGTTGGTGTTTTGGAAGAGTTTTGTCTTTTTCTCTTTTCTTTCCCTGCTCCTTTCTGAATCCTAGCATGAGTTTCAGAGTTTATGGGCTCCTGATTATCTCTTGGGAGTGGGAAGAAGAAAGAAAGTGCATACACTTCTATGCCACAAGCTCACCTGGGGCTGAATGGCTGCCAGTTAATAATTGTTTGGGAAGACTAGCATAGCCTTGGCTTATATGGTAATTTTGCCTATAATAATTATCCTTTTTCTCCAGGATATTGTCATTCCCCTGCATTTACATTTCATGGTTGGGAGGCTTTAGCTGTGGATTGCTCCTTCTTTTTGGTAGCTCTTCTTGTTGCATTCATATAACTTTGGTTTTATCAGGGTGCTCCAGTTAAAGCTTTATCTCAGTAAAAAAGAGAGTAGCTTCACAGTTTAATTGTGCTGGAGCATCTCCTTGTTTTAAAGCTTGTTATTTGCTGCATGCTAATGGAAGTGCAAAGCACTACAGAAAGAGAAGTGAGGAAAAAGTGGGTTTGGTCAGTTCAGATGGAATTGTCCTGGATTCTTGAGAGGGAACAGCATCTGCACAGGCTGCTGAGGGAGGGATAGATGATGCAGTGCTCTCAGCACTTCTCCCTTCTCCTTATCAAGAAGTACCTCTGTCTGCTGGTTATCCCTGAAAAAGTGGTGGCATGGTGGTAGAATTTTGGGAAGCCCAGGCTTTGGAGTCATAGAGAGCCATACAGAGCCAAGCCTGCATTTTTTGTGTCCTGAAGGGTAACTGGCAATTTCCCTTACCCAGGCCTGCTGTTTTCCCTCTGTGTTTTTCTGTCTTGCAGTGGTGGGGGATGAGAAACAAATGCAAAATGCAGCCTGCAGCAGTTCAATCTGTGAGCCCAGAACACCAGCCCCTGCTGTATCTGCTTCCATAAAGCCAGCAAAAATTGATTGCTGCTTCTCAGAGGTGTTCTGGGGGAGGCTGGCAGAGAGAACCCATTCCTTTTCAGGCAGGGGAAACCAAAAAGCCCTGGGCACTGATGTATTTATGTTAAAACCAGCAAATATTCCCTTTCACTGAGAACTTTTGGCTTGGAGCCTCGCTGAGAACACTTGGCTGGGAGCAGAGGGGCCTTTTTTTGTAGCCAGAGAAAAACTGCTCTGTTATATATCTCTCCAAGTACCTGTGGCCAGGAAGTACTTCTGTGGTGCTGTGCCATCAAGGTTTTTCTGGAGGTGGAAGCACTCTTCCATCTCTGCTCTGACCTGGCATGGACACAGAGTCTTGACTTACTGCAGGGTTTGGCTTTAAGAATCTCAAATTCAGGTTGTTTCGGGCTGTTAATTCCTGGTGGCTCACAATTTTTACTGCTGAGAAACCATGTGGACAATGAATACTCTTTTAATCAATTGCCTAGAAAATCTGAGTCTATATAATGACTTCTCACATAGTAAATAGAGCAATAAAACATTTAGCCCCTTTGATATAATCCAGTATATAAAAACCCACTCCAAAGCTAACGCACCTTGTACCACCCAGGGAAACAAGCCACGAATTTCACTTTGATTTTGGAGTGGTGTTGTTTTGCTCCTTCCTGGCTGCCAGCACTGCTCTGTGTGTTCCCCCTGTGCCAGGTGAGTGCCACCCAGACTGTGTGAGCTGCTCCCAGGCCTCTGATGGCTGTGACTCCTGCCGGGACCCCGGGAAGCGGCTGCAGGACGGGCGCTGCGTGGAGATGTGTGGACAGGGCTTCTACCAGCACGGGGGGGCCTGCTTAGGTAATTCCTGCAAGGGGTTAGACCCCTTCTTCTCTGCTGCATGCTGTACTTCTGGCTGTGGGATCCCGTGGGTTCATCCTGAAGAGATTGCCAGGCTTTGGTTGGAAAAGCATCCAGGCACGTGCTGTGTTGGAAACACGAGGCTTTGTGAGGTTTCAGATGGAAGCAGATGCAAATTTTTCGACTCTTTAGCCAGAATGAGGCAAAACCATCTCGTCAGAGCGGGGCGGGGGTTCTCTCTGCAGCAGGGATTTGGCATTGATTTTTCTTCTCTCTTCTTTCCCCTGGAAGCCTGCAATGAGACCTGCTCAGCCTGCACCAGTGGATTTGAGTGCTCCTCGTGCCAGGCACCCCTGCTGCTGAAGGACGGGCAGTGTGTGAGTTCCTGTGGGAAGGGCTACGTTCAGGATCAGCTCCTCTGCACAGGTACCTGGGAGCAAAAGAGGCTGCAGTGCTCTTGTGATGGCAAAAGCTGTACCTGGGCTATGGGAACCCTCTCTCTTGAGGCACCTGCTGTTGACATAGGTGTTAATGTTTACCCTAGGGTAAAGGAAGGAGTCAGTGAACAGAGGAACCAAGTCATACAGGGTAAAATTGATCACTGCTTGGGGAAATAGTCACGGCAGCTCCTCAGTGGATCAGTTCTGTTGTGTGTTTTTTTGGCTTCAGTGCAGACTGCCTGCACCTGCTCTTGCCACACCTTTCAGGATATGTTACTTTGAGGTGGATGCAAAATTGCTTGGAGGGGTGGGGGATTGATAGCACTCAGGAGATACTTTCTGGGGAAGTTTCCTCCTTAGTTTTTTTCATTCATCTGCTCCGTACTATGTGCACTTCCTGGAAGTGCATTGAGCTCGCTGCTCTCAGGAAGCATTTTCACAGAGTGAATTGGCAATTCTATAAAACATTGAGATGTGTCTCAATCCTTTATCTTAGCACTTGGAAAGAGTGAGAGTAAGATGTGGAAGTTAGCTTTCTCTTTGAAGGAACTATGACAGTGCTTTTATGAGCTTCCCCATCTCCTTTGAAATAACTTTAAACTCTCCCCAAACTGTAGAGCAGCTGCTTTTTCATCATGGCAGTTTAATTGTTTTCTCTAAAATTAACACTTTTCTCGTCTTGATGTTGGCCTTTTGTAGAAGGCTTCTAATTATTCCTGCAGCTCTGATTCAGCAGAGGGGTGGAACAACTGCTTAACTTCTGAGCCATCTCTTTAATTTCTTTGGAACTAACTGTCTTGTTCAGAATTTAATACAGGCTGAGGGCTTTTGGCACATTTCAGGGCAAAGCACTTTAGATGGTAAGTCCAGCTTCCTTTTCTCAAGTGGTTTCCCTTGAAGAGCTCACCACTTGTTTCAGATTTTGAAAGGCTGAAAAAACTCTGTCCTCCAGCAGCCACTACAGCCCAGGACTCTGCTGTGGATGTATAAAATAGACAAGAGAGACCCAGTCCAAAAGAATTTATAGGCTTAAGTATCAAATAATCTTCTACTTCATTGGGTTTTATTTTATCATTTCCTTTCCACCTGCTCTTGGTGTTTTAATTGGCAGAGCCCATGTACTGCTGAAGGGGTAGGGAAAGGCTAATGTTTCATTTTATTGCTGGTTTGTAGATTACCGATTGTACGCTCCATCCAAATTTGCAGTCACGCATGCTTGTAGCTGAATGTTGCTGGGAAAATTTGTTCCTCTTTCCTCAAGGGAATTAAACCAATTTGCTTTAGTTCTGCCTGGCTGCATTTTCTGCATAAAGTCAAACCAGTGGAGAAAGTCTTACATTTCAGATGCGGTCTGTAATTCACGGCCGTTCACTCTTTCCTTGTGTCCTCTTTATTCCTGCAAATCTCTAATCACATTGTGGAGATGGGCCTCAGACTGCTCCCAAAGATTTTCCTCATAATGGTTTTAACATCCACAATAAGCATGTTCCAAAATCACAGAAAGGATGAACTAGACTGTGTTAATTGCTATAGTTCCAGTAAAGTCCCTCTTGAGGAATTCGCTCTGGACTTGAAAGAGACTTAGCACCAGGTTCCTTGCTCTGTCCTCTTGTAGAAACACTGTTGTCTGTGTTGTAGAAAAACACAGTGAATTAGCCTTTCCTTTTGTTCATGTTTTGTAACAGCTGGTCTAATTGAGTCCCTTTTCAGTTTTTGATTACAGTTGTTTGATCTCTGCCCTATTTTAATCCTACACCAGGGTTGTTTGCTGCCCCCATCCCTCCACTTGCTTCTGTGAAGAATTAAAACCATTAAGAGAAAGTAAAATGGAGAATAAGAGGTAATAAGTTCAGTTATGTAGCAGTGGATTAGAAGATCATGGTTGAGTTGGTGTCAGGCGGAGTGGTGGGTTCTCCCTTGGCAAAAACAGAGCTCCCCCACCGAAGGCAAAGCAAAGGGAAGCAAAAATAAACTGCGTGGTAGAATGGAAGGGCTCGAAGGACTTGCAGTGTTTAATGCTCTCACTGCCTTCTCCTAACTTAATTATTTATGTTTTCAGGATTATTCAAAAGCCCAGGCAGAGCTGGAGTGTTTTTGCTTTCATCTCCCAAAATGCGAACGTTGAAGTGTGTAACTTGACACTAGCAGACCCATCTCACTCTGGAGCAAAGCACTTGGATTTCTGCTCCCTACATGTTGCTTTTCCCTGCTGTCCCTGGCTGTGGGGATCCAGGGCTGAGTGTGGCTGAGCTGGGCTTGCCCAGCTCCTAGGGAGGAGTGCAGGGGAGAGGTGGCACACATCTGTGGGACCCCCAAGCCCAGCAGTGCCTTCTGTGTTCTTGCTGGGATACCACTGGCATTGCCCTCCTGCTGTGGTCAGACCTGGGAAGAGAGAGTTTGGAGAGCTGCAAAACAGCCCCTACAAATCCCAGCTGGAAATAGCCAGGGGGTTGGAAATAGCTTCCTGGCCGTGCAGTCACTTCTGTTGATTTATTTTCACACAGCCACTTGGTTGCTGCAGGCAAAGATGTTTGAGCTGACGGTGACTCATTGAATGCTTCCATTTTTCCCTTGTTCTTTCTGTGGAGTTGGTGCCTGGCTGTTTGGGTGAGGAGCAGCTGTTAAGCCTGGCAGTGATCCAGTGCTGAAAGAGCCAGGGATTCTGGAGTCAGGGTGTGTAATCACGGAATCAGGGAATCACAGAATGGTTTGGGTTGGAAGAGACTGTAAAGATTATCCTGTTCCAACCCCTCTGCTGTGGATGCTTTCCACTATCCCAGGTTGCTCACAGCTCCATCCAACCTGGCTTTAAACACTTCCAGGGATCCAGGGGCAGCCATGGCTTCTCCAGGCAACCTGTGCCTCACCCCCCTCACAGGGCTTTGCCAAGGGCCAGCAAGAGCCAACTGGTAACTGTTTAAAAACAGGCTGCCAGCAGGGAAAAGTGTCTCTTGGAAAGGAGCAGCGCCTCTAGGGAGGAATTGAGAGCTTTTCAAATGGCTGGGAATGTTGAGAAGTGCTGACATACTCAGGCAGGTTAACAGGCAGGGGTCCCAGCCATGCAGTGGGAAGTCTGCAATTAAGGGATCTGAGTCCTGGCACCCACTCTTTCAAATACATGGTGAAAGTTAGACTGGGCTCAGAGAGGAGCAGAATAGGCAGGTCTGGAAGGTGAAGTGAGGACATTCCACTGCTTAGGAATTTACAGCATGAACTCATACTCTGCAGTTAACTTTGGAGTGTAGACGTGCCCTGAGAATCATCCAAGCTGGAGTGAGATGCAGGGTTTTTTATCAGCACGGGAGATGATTGACTGGAGCAGGAAACTCTGCACATGCTCTGCCTTGGGATGGGATGTGAGGGACTGTGAGGGGAAAATCCTATCCAGTACAGGATGCCCAGGGTCCTTTTGAAACACCCCTCACACTGGAGTGTTCAGGAACCAGAAGAGCCACAGCCTTCTGGAAAGATCAGGAATGAGGTGGAGGGAAAGACGATGCAGGAGGGTGAGGAGCAAATATCTAATCAAGACAAGAAAATGGAAAATAAACCAGGGTGGAAGTGTGGAGAAGCATCCAGAATGCCAAAGGACCACGTGCTGGGCATGAGCTCAAATTGTCCTGTGTCTTGTCCCCTGAACACTCCCTGTTCTAACCCGGGTGTTCCAGTTCCCTCCGTGTGAGATGGAGCTGATAGCACTTCCCTGCCTTGGGCAACAGTGAAATCCCCTGGGATGGGGTGTTATGCCCCTCTGTGTCTAATGTGCTCTTAGCTCTGTGGATGAGCTGCTGCTGGTTTCTGCCTTGCACTGATGCTACTCACAGATGAGATTTTTCTTGGATGGCTGCAACTTCGGACGTGTTTGCAGGGCAAACATCGAGAAGTTTCCTTTCCCCCACCTGCCACAGACTGGGAGCACAAGCATGTACCTGCCTGATTGTGAAATAATGAATTGAAGAACATCTTTGGAACATATTTGGGTGTAATTAAGAAAAAAACCAAACCCAAACCGAACTTAACAGCTAAAAGAACTGTAATTTGCACCGTTCCTGCAACACTGGGAGCACAGGATCTGATAGGAGTCTGTGTCTCTTATTTTCCCCAGGAATTACTCAGGCTGAGCATGTGAGGACTCCTGATAAGTCAGTTCCTTCTGCACACGGAAGGACAGGAGGAGTTGTTCCTGGAAGCAGGCTGGCTTGTTTCTCATTTTGCCAAACGTTGAGTTCAGCCCCGCAGCGCAGCTCTGCATGTGTGTGTGCCCGGAGCTGGGTTACTGTCAGCAGTCACCCCCAAGATCTGAGACGGGATCTATTCCTATTTCCCTTTGTGCTTCTGCAGCCCCTGGCACCGGGCACTTTACAGTGTTCCCAACACTCTTCCTGGGCTGATAACAGCTACTCTGATCTGTGCTGCTGTCACATTCCACGTGCAAAATGCAGCTGGAAGTCGTCCTGCCGGGATGGCTTGGATGAAAGGTTCTAACCTAAGAGCGGCAGTGGGTTGTGTTTGTTATTTTTTCATCTTCTGGAGCAGTGCAAGCCTGAGCAAACCTGTGAAGAAGTGAAGTGGTGCAGGCTCTTTGTTGTAAGGAGCTGGCTGGAAGCGGGTTATTTGCTAATCCTACACTTGTCTCCCCTGCAGCCTGTCACGAATCCTGCTCCTCGTGCTGGGGAGCTGCAGAGAACCACTGCCTGTCCTGCAAAGACCCATCACACGTGCTCCAAGCGGGGCTCTGCCTGCCCAGCTGTGGCCAGGGCTTCTACCCAAAGGATGGCATCTGCACTGGTAAATAGCTGGGAGAGAAATGCTCTGCACGAGCGGGAATCAATATTTCATTTAGCCGCGCAGCAGCTGTGACTTGATATTCGAGTCTGACAAGCCAGCTGCACCTCGTGCCTTCCTGCAGGATGAGGGAAGCTGCTGTTTGTTTGTGAGATTATTAAATTCATTAACACTAATCAGATGCTGCAAGGTTTAAGGGGTTTTTCCTCGCCGAACGGCTTGAGAACCCGAGTTGTTTCTGAGGGCTTGACAAATCCATTTGTCTGCGGAAAGAAAAATGGCTTTTGCCGGCAGGTTTCTGTAAATTTAATTATAATTCAGCATCACAGTAACTAATACCTGCACAGCAGATGTGCCTTGGGAGCTGGGAAGGTTTGCTGGGAGAAAGGGAGAAGAGGTGGCTAGAGGGAATTAAAAGACCTAAGTCAAACAGATCCTGAAGGGGGGTGAGAAAAAAAATCTCAAGGAATCTCACATTTGTCACATGCATTCCAGCTGTTTCAGGGGACTGTGCATGGTCAGTCAGGGCTTGTTGGGCTTCAGGTGTGTGGCTCACACAGGTGTGTCTGGGTCACAGTTTGCTAGAGAGAGTTTAAAAGCTGGAACATGGTGGCAAAAGGATTGCTATTTGTGCTTATTCTGGATGACCAGGTGTTCCTCTTCATTTTGGTCCATGTCTGTACCAGGTAGTTTTACTCGCCTATGTTTTAAGTGTGCAGGCTTGAAATCTTATGGCTGAAAAGGAAATTTAACTTAGGTTTGGTTTTTATTGCCAGTGGTTTCTCGAAACCCCATAGCTGCTCCTTGAAACCTCTGAGGTTCAGACCTTTCACCTTCTACCACAATCCATGCATTTTGATACCCAGCTGGAGATCTGCTTTGTGCTTTCTAGTGAAAAGAGACAGAAATTGGTTAAGTAAAATGCTTGACTCTTAAAAATATCCAGCAGCATATTGCCTTAGGGAAGCCAGAGTTCCATGGTGCTCTTGGACAAGAGGTCAGTTCAGAGCTGATTGCCTGGGATAATATAGACCACAGGAACTGATAAGAAAAATTATCATGTTTGATCTTAGCTGCATTTTCCCACTTTGAAGAAAAGGGGGAGGGGGGAAATTACCATTTGTTGAAATCATCTTTCCCCCACTCCTTCCTGAGCAGTCTGGTAACTGCTGCTTGCTGTGCACTGCCATGTAAAGATTTATAGGGTGGTTTCCATAGGTGGGGAGAGGTTGATGGCTCTGCTGTTGTTCCCTAACTGAGTGCATGTCATTAATGAGCTGTTCTCCTGGCAGCTTGTGGCCAGTTCTGCGAGAGGTGCTCTGCAGAGGCAGCCAGGTGTGTGAGCTGTGCTGCAGGGAAGCTGTTACACGAGGGGAAGTGCATCCCTCGATGCCCAGACGGGCATTTCCCGAGTGCCAGTGGGAGATGCGGAGGTAAGAGCTGGATTTTGCATGACCCTTTCCAAGGCTCTCAAGGCACTCTCCTTGCATTGTCTGCTCTTCCATAAATGTGGGGAGGGAATTTTAAGAACAGAGAAATGGGAGTGGGGACAGGGAATTTTATTTTTTTTTTGTTTGTTTTCCTTGGGTTCACTTGTGATGGATTGTTTCAATAACCTCTTTTCCTTGCGAAACATTCAGAACATCGTGCGAGCGAGAGTTATTACTGTTAGTACTTACTAATACATGGGCACTTCTGCTCTCACTAGTTCACTTAGCTGAGTCTCATTCCAGCTGGGAGTTTTCTACAGCTGGAGAAGGCTGTAGTCAGCAACACCACTCTCAAGGAGTAAAAATGGGATGTTGCAGCTCTGTGTGCTCTGTTTCTTTATCAGCTTGTCACGCTTCATGCTCCACGTGCGAGGGACCTCTGGCCACTCACTGCACCTCCTGTTCCTTCCCTCTGGCATTGCGCCAGGGCCAGTGCCTGGAGAGCTGTGGAGAGGGATTTTACCAGGATCACAACATCTGCAAGGGTGAGCTCTGTACCTGGAATAAGTTCCCCATCTGCTGTAAACCAGGTTTTGTTTTTCCTTTCTCCGATGCTGAAGCAGTCAGTGCTTAATTCCTGCCTTTCCTGCTGATTGTTTTCTGCTTTGAGAAAAAGCAAGTTTTCCCACCTAATTTCTGCTTTCACACCTCCAGGATTTAGCGATTTCAGGGACTTTTTTGGGCTTTTTCCTTCTTCTCTGTGCACACTGCTGAAATAAATGTTCATTGCTTCCAGGTTTTTACCTCAACACAAGTTAAGAGGTGGATAAAATTCCACATCTACCTGGTATGAAATTCCACATCTACCTGGTATGAAATTCCACATCTACCTGGTATGAAATTCCCCATCTTCTTAGTATGAAACTCCACATATTTGTGGTATGAAGCTCCACATACATCTGGTAGATTTGCAAAGACTGAGGTCATCTTTGCAGTAGTGGGAAAAGCGAAAATAGGGAAGGTGAATTTCTGCTTCGTGTGAGCCCTTCTCACTGGCATTCCTTGCTGTCCCTCCTAGTGAGATGGAGCTCACTGTTGCAGTTCCACAAGTTAAAGGAGAATTGGCTGCCTGTGGCACAGGGCTGCGGTTTCTTATTTGTTCATCAGCTTTACTCGGGAAAAAGCGCCGTTCCTTGAGGGCGAGGGGAATGATGTCAAAGTACTTTTCTAAAATCCCTGTTCTGTTGTAGCAACCAGGACCAGATGCTGTTGGGCCTTGGGAAAGCTGTCCCTCATCCTTCTCACTGGCAAAGCTGTGGCTCTGATGGCTCTCTCCCCCTGTGCCCAGGTTGCCACCCGTCCTGCCACTCCTGTGCCGGCCCGGGGGCCGCGCGCTGCCTGCGGTGCCAGGCGCCCGAGGACGTCCTGCAGCCTCACCTGCCCGGGGAAGGAGCTCTCCATGGCCTTTGCCTCCCCCTCTGCCCATCCCAGTTCCATGTGGATAGCACAGGAGTCTGCAGAGGTGAGAGGAGAGCTGTTCAAAGCCCTGGAGCGTGGGTGTTTGGGGGGGAGCTTGTACCGTGTTTGATTCGTACATGCTGAGAGCCCTCTGCTTGCCTCGTGACTGCCATGAGTGTTTCAGCTCTGTAACTTTCAAAATGGCAAATCCTAGTACTTTTGAGGGAAAATGTAATCTAGATAAGACTTGTGACTAAAAGGCCCAGGTACTTTCTTTTTAAGTGCCTCTGTTCAAGCCTGCGCAGCTCAGCTCAGCGTAGCCTCCTTTCCATTGAAGCTGAGTACGTGATTTTTAGCACCGACTTACTTTGAAGCAGGATCAATCCTTAAAGCCTTTTCAGAAAAGACTGAGCTTTCTCCTTCTTAGCCCTTGGAGCAGGTCAAGACATCCCACAGCAGTCTTTTCTTTTGAGGAAGCTCTTCTGCTACATGCCCTGCAGCACACATGCCATCCCTGCTCCTGAAATACCAGCTAGCATTTCCATGAAAGCTAGAGTTTGGAAAAGTGGCTCATGTGGTGTGCACTGGGGATATGTGTGGTTTCCCACCAGTCAGAGAGACAGTGACTCAAGTAAAGTAGTAGTAATAACAATAGTAACAGCACGACTGGTGCCTATTTCTTCCACTTGGAAAAAAAAAAATCTTTTAAAAGTAAAAAAATCTTTTAAAATCCAGTTATTTAATCCAGTTATTTTATGGCTTTGTCTCAGCTCATTGGAATGAATACAAGCTCATTCCAGTGCTTTGACCTGATTCCTGAAGGCATTAGTGTAGTGTACAATCCGTGCAGTCGCTGTTCCTTGGCAGGTAATGGGTTTTCCTGACTGAATCCAGGTCATGGGGTAGAAACTGTGTGAGGAAATCCATATATCCCTGCCTCAGGTGGGTGACCAGGCCTGAGCAGAGCTCAGTGACAGCACTGAGTTATCTCATGGGGCAAGAATCCCAGCACAGCCCTTGTGTTATTGGCTCTGCTGTGTCAGGGGTGGCATTAGAGTGGGAGGTTGATTTATTGTAAAAAGGGGTGAGAGCTCAAGATGTCAAGCTCTGAGCTCTCACTATAAAATACTCATGCAAGGTTTGGAGGTTCAACCTTTTGGAAAAAGCAAACCCACAACGTTGTGCAGAACAGAAACATGTTCATATGTAGGGCAGAATGCTGGTTTTGTAGAATCATAGAATGGCCTGGGTTGGGAGGGACCTTAAAGATCTCCCTTGTAGCCAGCTAAGTGTAGTTGTATAAATTATTTTATTTCATTTAATGTCTTCTCTCCAGCCCTGTGTCTTGTCTCCCCACAGTCCAGATGTCTCTGTTCAACCCACACGGTGGAACCTGTGGCCTCCAGCCACTGCTCTGATAAACATGATGTTTTTAGCTAGTGAGTTGATGTATTTCTTTAATCAGATGGCTTAGTTGGAGATGGTTTGCTTAAGAGTGAGTGCCAGGAAAGAAGTGCAGTTTTTAACTGCGCTCTTCCTTCTTGCTGGATCATCCTTGTGATGAGCTTCAGGTGGCCAGTCCACCTCTGTGGATATTTGCTCCAGAATGGCTGATGGTAACTGTGCAGTGACAGGAGAACCTGCCTGGAGTAACTGCAGGGTGATAACAGAAGGTGGTTCCAGCAGCTGGTGAGTTTGCAGAACCCCAGAGCTCTTCTGGGGAGGACAACAGCATCACACGGTGTTGGGCAGCCCAGCTTTGCATTTCAGTAATGAACTGCGTGGGTGCAAAGAAATATTAAATATGCAGCTGCCTCTGCTTGCTCCTTATCTTCAGGAACTGTGCTCCACTTTGTACTCCTTTCTGCCTCTTACAAGCAGAGAATTCTGTAAAGGAAAAAAAATCCCTTCCTGTCATCCTTGGGAAGAAAGCAATCTGGCCATATTTTGAGGCAGTAAGAAGCGAAACGAGCCAGAATTAATTGAGGCTTTCTGTGTGTTCTTGTTTTTTTATCCCCTTCCCTGCAGAGTGCCACCCCTCCTGTGCAAGCTGTGTGGGGAATTCTTCCCAGGACTGCACGGCTTGCCCGGCTCCTGCCGTGCTGCTGGAGGGAAGGTGCCTCCCCACGTGTCCCCAGGGAATGTTCAGCCACGGGGATCGCTGCTCCTGTGAGTGCCCCTGCAGCCTGCCCTGCTGCTTTTTATGAAGCTGTTGAAGTGTTTTCAGGGGAGAATAGGGTAGTCCAATTTCAGGGAAGGGAATCTCCTCCTAATGGGAGAGAGATGTACACTTGGAATCATAAATTATACTCAGTTTTGCTCCTCGGGACTGTTTCCCTGAAGATGTTTGGTGCTTGATTCCAGGATGATGTTCCTAGCTTGTGTGCTGTGGAAAAAAACCTCTTTAATGGACAACACCAATAAATAGAATGCTTTTATTAGGCTAAGCCTCAAATTTAGAGAGAAGAACCTTTTCTAAAATCCGTTGCTCATTTATTCAACGTTTTCAGCCAAGGAACAACTCTATAAATAGATTTCTTTGGCAGGCCATTGTAAAGATTCATCAGTTCTGAGGTGTGCACTGCCACCTTAGAGCTGAGGTAACTGCTGAGTGCTGCTTTACCTGGTTTCAGGCTCATAAAAATGTCTTAGAAACAAAATTTCAGTGTCAGGAAAGTGGCTTCTTGCAAGCTGTGTCCTTTTATTCATAAAGAGCTTTGAGAGTAGTTTTTAAGAATTTTTTACTGACTGTTAGCCATAGTATTTTTATCTCCCTCAGATCTGTAGCACGGAGATCTGACATCTGTCCTTCAAGCTGGAAGGATACAAAAGCAGTCCATGAAATATTTTTTGAGTGCTCTTAAGCCACTTTCTCTGCCATGTCTTTGTTGAGCCTTTAGCGGACAGAAAATGGCTAATGAGCTGGCTGGGCATTCCTGCTTTAGAGGTTTCAGTTTGGGAGGGCTCAGTGGAGAAATCCTTCCTTGTTTTTCCTCTCATGCATATCAGTCCCAAGAGAAGTTTAATTTATCTCCCCTGTGCATCCCACTCTGGTTTTTTATATGCACAAGCATATGCAGGAGGGAGGAATAACAGGGCCAGTCTCTCCCTCTCTCTTTTATTTTGTGCCTAGATCTATACCTTGATTAATGTGGGGAACAAATCACATTTCTTAAATTGGCAAGCCATTCCTCATCTTGTTTATTCAAAATGAGGATGTGAGAGCCTTCCAAACCACAACCCTGCAGTCCCCTGGTGCCATCAGATCATTTTATGCCCGTGTTTTGTAGGAATATAAATGATGGTGGGAGCTGGTGTTTTGGGAAGGGAGAGGAGAGGGTGCATCAGGAGCATGACCAGGAGTGTTGATTCTCTTCCTCAGCCTGTCATCCATCCTGCAAGACATGCCATGGCCCCTCTGATTGGGAATGCTCCACCTGCCACCCCCATGCCACTCTGGATCGTGGGAAGTGCAGGACAAGCTGCAAGGAGGAGCAGTACCTCAACCTGGTGGGGTATTGTGTGGGTGAGTAAGGGGAGCTGCTGTGGGGGATGAGCCATTAGTCTGTGCCATGAGACTGCTGCTTCACACTGCCAGGAAAGCTGCTTAGGTCCTGCTCAGACCTTCAGGGAAAGGAGTTAAGTTAAAGTTTGTGATCCAGAGAAGCACTTTATGGGGCCCTAAAGAAAAGCTGGCGCAGCAAGCGTTGCCGTGTGCATTTTTGGGAGGTAATAGGATTTCTGGATAGGGGTTATGCTGTGTGGGTGCTCAGTGCCTGCACTTAAAACCATCATCTGAAACCACTGATTGCGTTTATCTGTTTAAAAAGAAAAATCGCTTTTAATCCGTCACACAGACACGTATAAACCTATCCTGGGAACTGCTCCAACAATTTCTGAGCTTTATCAAGCCATTTTTTTTGCCTTTATCAAAAAAAGCTACGGTGTGTGAGGCTTAATCCAGGCTGAACAGTTCCAAATGAGATAAGGAATCCTAAGAAAAGGGAAAAAATGCATTAGAAGTAATAAATATATCCATTGAAAGGCTATTGTTCTCAGCTTAATATGATTTCCCTTCACTGAGCCTTCTTTTTGCTTACATCTATGTCCTGGATGTTTTTTTGTGAAAGACTTGTTTCTTTGCTCTCCACAGCTTAATTCTGTGAACCATTTCTTCATCTTCCTTTTAAACAGCAGCGATTGTTTTGTCTGCAGAGACAAAAAGAGTGGGGAAAGGAAGTGTGTGAGGAGTAGGAAAGTACCCTAAAAGTACTGTACAGCTCCTTAGGAATTCAGGTTGGGGAATGGAGATGTTTCATACAGTCAGGTAACTACAACCTGGAAATAAATCAGCTTCTCAGTGTAAAGAGGTGGATCTGTCCTGTACAATTTCAGGGCATACAGTGGTGTACTTACTAATGTCCTGTCACATCTCGGAGCTCTATGCACTTTATTTCTTCCATTAATTCTTTATTTCCCCATTAATTTGCACTACGCTTCCTATGAAAGAAATCCCGTGGAAAAATGGCCTTCCCCTGTAAATTTAGTTGGGGAAAACCTTGGTACCATTTGTCATCAGTCAGAGACTCTTTCTGAGGAAGGTTCATTCTGCTGCTTCAGTTATCCCTTTGCTTGGTGTCATGGACACCAAAACTCCCAAATCCCGTCCATCAGGGAGATGTCACAGTGCTGGAAGCTGGAAGCAGTGGGTTCCCTCAGGCAGGGTGGAGGGAATTCCTCGTGGCATAGGAACCCTCAGTGTCCAGGTGTTTCTTTGTCTCACTGAAGCTGTGAGAACCCTTGCAGAGGAACATAACTGAGGTGTTTTTTTTTGCCTCCACAAACAAAGCTGCGCTTTGGCCCCGGCTTGGCAGCCTGAAGTGTGTTTGTGCTAAATTTATGTCTGGAGTTTAAGCACAGGATGTTTGTCGCCAGTTCTCCTAGAGATCAAGAGCTCCACGTCCAGGTTGTTAAGTTTCACTCCTTCTTCTCATTCAACACTGATTGAAACGCTGAATTTGCCCTTGCAAGTTATTAATTATCAGTTAAAGAGCAGCTGTCCCATAAAAGAGGACATAAAAACTCCTGACACGCTCGTAAGATATGATTTGCATCAGAATCTAACAAAGCTTTTTCCTTTGCCTCCCAAAGCAATATATTTTTACAATTATCTTCCCATTTATCTTCAATTCCCGACCCTCCAGGCAGAATTGTGTTATGGCTTATAGGGCCTGCTGTGCATTATAGTCACCTGCCACACTTTATGGACCTGGAGGGGAAAATCTTTCACAGAGGCTGGAGAAAGCCAGCTGTCACTCCAAACCATTGCCTGGGAATTAATGCTGTTACTGTGCATGGTACCTGAATGAGGATTGGAACATTTGCCTTGTTAATAGGAAAAAAAAACCAGGGTCTTGTTTTCAGCAGTTAATCAAATAAGCATTTCATGTTTAATCAGAAGCAAGACAAAATGTCCCCAAATTCCAAAAAAATCAATGAGTCCCTGAGCTCTGCTTTGGGCACGCAGAATTTGTGCCAGTTCTTCCCTGAGAGTGCTCAATTGATTAATTTTATTGAATAGCCCGAGTGTGTGTACAGCAATGTGCTTGAGACTTGATCCATCCCCTGCTGGATCTCACAGCTTCTGTGGGTTTTGTTTTCCCAGTTTGAAAACACTCCATGATTTCCCTCTCCCTCTCATCCAACTCAACTGCAGCTTGAGGAAACTTTGCAGTCACCAGTCTGAAAATCCCAACCACTGCTAAAAGTCCTGCTCATAAAGCCCTGCCCTCGCTTTTCTGATTTGCAGTTTCCCTGGAGATCTGGAAGCTTCCCTGTTGATCTTTTCCTGACTGCGTGGAAAGGCAATTAGACAAATGCAGAGGGACTGGTGTGGAAGAAAACTGTGAACACCAACTGGTACAGAATCCCTCCCACCCTGGTCTTAACTCCAGCTGCATCTTCCAGCTGCAAGGGAGCTCCCAGTCCGCGTGTTCTGCAGGCCCTTGCTTTCTTAGGCTGTGTGCAGTTGGGAAATCGTTCAAAGCTAAACCAGAAGAGCTCGCTCAGGAGGGGGCCTGTAACAAGCTTTGCTGCCTTGCTCTTAAAATTCCAGAGGGGACACTCTGACAACAAGAAATATACTCAGTTCCTTGTAAAATTAATGAGCTGTTGCTGTCCTTTTAGAGAGACACTGATATCATCACAGAGAGCTGAGCAGAGCAAGAGGGGCTTAGCTCCGCTTACTCACTGGCGTGCAGCCTCCTACAGAACCAGCAGCTGAGCTGCCAGAGGAGGAAAAATCCTTTCCCTGCTTTGGTTTGGGCTCCTTTGTGCCAGGCACCATCCAGCTGGATCTCCCACCTCACACTGCCTAGGGAAGCTCTCACACAGGATACAAACCCCTGCAAACGAGGTTGCACTTCATCAAGAATTCACTTTGCTTGTTTGAGTGACAGAGTCCCTTTCAGGTCATGGAAAAGAGAGACAAGAAAAACGTTGCATAGCCTTTTAAACAACCACACTGACTTGCTTTCTGGATTTGCTTCAAGACCAGAGACTTCTTGCACCTTGAGGTGCTGCAAAGTGTGTGGTGTTTTCAGTGCTGATTTTAAGTCATGCTCTGTTGTAAACCTCAGGTCTCACCTTACAGCACAGCACAAAACTCACATCAGGAAATAGTTTTGTGGAGAGCCCCTGAGAGAGGTGATGTGTTTAAACAATATGAGTGGTTGATTGCTTAGCAGATGGTGGAGCAGAGAGGCAGAAATGCCACTGGTTTCCTTTGTGAGCATTCACAAACACTTCAGAGATGGTTTTGTCTCCTCAGCAGCCTCTTGTGTCTTAGAGCAATCTGTAACAGATAATTTCCACATAGGAAGGCACCGTTTTCTTGCTTTATTTGCTAAGAGAAAGCTAAAGAGGCTGTGCAAGTCAAGTAACTCTGGAAATCCATGTAAGTGTTTCCATTCTACTTTACAATGAAAGTGGCTTTATAGGAAGGTCAGTGATAGGGGTTATTTTTGCATAGAGGTGAAGAAGGAGGAAATCAGAACCAGCTGGAAGGAGAGCTGGAAAGCCTTTTGCTTGGAGAGTGGGAGGAAAGGCAGTCTCAGAAAGATGAGGAGGGAGGCACTGGGGCTACGAGCAAAGTGGTGACAGACTTCCATAGAATCCAGTTTGCATACTGGAATGGCTCTAAGGGAATTAACTAACTTGTGTTGCAGTGACCTGCAACAAGCTGGGGGATGTGAAGGCTCCAGAAAACACAAATCCCACAGGATGTAGAGTGCCTGCTGGCAGAGCTGGAGGGAGGATTGACAGGGAGAAGGCAGAAGCAAGTTGGGCTGTGGGGTGTTAGTGAGAAGCACAAGGAAAACATCTCCCTTCTGTTAGTCCTCGCTTCAAAGGGAGCCTGCTGTGAAGAAGTGAAATCATCTCTCCCTAAACAAAGCCCTTCAGTTCTTCCCTCACTCTCTCACTCGCTCCCCAATGTCCCTCAAATTCACCATGAGCGTCAGCCCCGGGTTTTTTCTTGGTGTTGTTTGTGCTTTGATCTCCAGGCTTGCAAAGGAACAGGAGAGTGATGGGGCTGATTCATCCTAAAACAGTAACTGAAGAAACTCTTTCCACTCAATAGGAGCAAAAACAGAGGCTTGTAAAGAGAAAACTCTGCTGCAGCAGCACAGAGTTTTGTAGATACCTGGATTTTTAAATGTTAGTTTGGGAGACTCTAGATTTTTTGTTGCGTGTACTGATTGTTTCTCCATTTATGAAACCTTTTGACCAGATTTGTTACTCATTATACCCTGCCAAAGCTCCTTATTAGAGACAAGTGGCTCCAGCAGGAGAGTCAACTGGAGGAGCATTATTTTAGTAGTGAGGAGAGTCAACATATTACCAGATAAACGTGGAAGTACGAACTCTAATTTGGTTTACGTTATTTTTCTTGGTTATAAGTGCATAAAACTTGTCACCCCACCTGCAGCCCAGGGAGGCTGCGGAGCGATAACCCCCGTGAGCTGGAACCCCTTTGGGGAGGTTCTGAGCTTGGTCACTGAGTTGGGGAGCATGACCTGGTGTGCTGTTTTGCTTTTATCTGAAGCACAGAGTCTCTTCCTGCACTCCTTTACCCCAGCTCTGGCTGGTAATTTCCCAGCTCTCCGAGGCTGAGAGCACGGGGCAGAAACTCGATGGATTCCATACCCTGGGAAAGCAGGAGGTGAAGGAGGCAGCTCTCTAAGAAGCCTGGATCCCTGCCTGCAGCCAGGACTGGATCAGTTCCTGAGCTGCTTCTGGGCTTTTGCAGCAGTGTTTGGGAAGAATCACCTGTGTGTGATGTGCAGGAGACATCAGGAGCTGGGGCGAGGCTCCGGTCGCTGCCGCGCTCCTGCAGCTACGGACACGGAATTCCTCCAGGCTCCAATGTGAGCCTGTCTTCAGCTTGTAAATTTAGATTGCCTGACAATCTGTAGTAGTGCTGTCATAAGAGACAAAAGACAGAAAGGTGAAGCTGCAGCAGAAATCTGACAAGAGGCCAGGTACTCAAATCAAGCCTCATTGTTGCATATCTTTCAAGACACTCGTCATTTCCTTTATCATTTTCTCAATTACCATAATGAGGATTAATTTGGCTTCCAGGTTGCCTTACACTGCACCTTTGTGCACACAAAAGGCTTGTTGTCAAACCTTTTGAAGCACCTAAGTTCAGGCAGAGGTCAGGAGACACAAGCTTGTGTCCTGCTAGGGGAAAATGGGAAAAGAAAAAGGTTTTGAGGCACTCTGATGCCGCTCTTGGCCTGGCTTTGAGGGCTGCTGTGGCTGTTTCAGGGTATGGATGTCTTGTTAGTGTGGGAAAATGCAAACAGCAGGAACTACAGGAGAAGGTCATGCAGCTGTACAGGTTCTGCTCCTCATTTTTCCATGGTGGGAGCAGAGGGAGGTGAGTGCCTGAGGCCTCCAGCAGAGCTAAAGAGAAACCTGTAGGCAGAAGCACTCAAAATGAGGGAAGGGTTTTGGGAAGCAAAGGGCTTTGAGCTGGATTTGTGCAAAGCCTTCCCAAGCTCACTCAAGGGTGAGAAAGAGGATGCTTGAATGGGGCAGGAGGGATGCAGAGGAAGAAGAAAATGCTGTGGTGCTCAGTAAGAGCACGAGATGAGGAGGAGGAAGAGGCAAGAGGAAAGGATTGCTCAGTCGCAGGTAGCAGGATTTGCTCTCAAAGTTCAATCCCTAGTGCCCACCTGGAGTTCTCAGCTAAGCTCTGTGCTGTCCCTCTGTTCTCAGTGTCCTCTTGTTCCCTGTTCCCTCTAGACTGCCACCCCCTGTGCCAGCAGTGCGTGGCCAACCTGCGGGACACGGGCAGCGTGTGCCTCAAGTGCCAGAACGCGCGGCACCTGCTCCTGGGGGATCGCTGCCTGCCCGACTGTCCTCCGGGACACTACGCCCAGAGCGGAGCCTGCAAAAGTGAGTTGGGCCCTGCACACGCCTCGAGTTGCTGCAAGGAACTGCCTGGATCCTTGTGAGAAGTTCCATGAAGCGGTTCATGTTTAGTAGAGAAGCTCTGTCCGGCCGGCAGGACGCTGCACTTGAGCGGTTTGGGGTTTTTTCCTCGCTGGTAGGAGTTCCTCAGGTTATTTTGCAGCCTGAGGTGGAATATCACCCTAACTAAGGTCTGTTACTGAGGCTTGTCTTGCTGCAGTGATGGCCCAGAAGGTGATGGCTTGTAGCAGCTCCTAAAACAGAAAGCCAATTCCATTCATCATTCTAGGCTGGCACGATGGATGCAGAGCCAGCGGCGCGTTTTATTTTCTAATGTGTCCCTGCATCTCCTCCATTTCTAGTTGTTGATGTGGTTTGGTATTCCAGTCCTTGTCTGAGCTGCTTTAGACTCCCTGGGCTCTTAGAAGAGGAAGCAGGTTCCTTTTCTTGTTCTGTGGCTGACAGAGATGTGGTAAAGCTCAAAGCTGAGCAAAGGGTATTTAGTTTCTGAGAAAGGAACCAAGAGCAGAAATTCAGCACAATGTAGATGCTCCTTTTGCAGCAAGTGGCATTTCCTAATCTAGTTTAGGGTGGGTAATATTTCAAAGCTTCTCTCCAGCATGCCGGGAGCTGTGTGTTTATTTACCTGGTTTTGACAGATGAGATCTCAGAGCTTTGAAACATATTCTGTCACTTGATTGGAAAGGCCCCTGAGAGAGAGAGAGAGAGGTTTTGCCTTCCTGGGAATGTAAGCCTAGGGATAACATATCTTCCCTTTGGTTTAAAGGTTTCATTTAAAAGGAGCTGTGCATTTTTCAGACTATGCCAAAACTCATAAGACATTCTGTTCTGGCTTTTAAGATTCCCAGCAATCCAGTGCGGTTGCTTCTGATTTTTTTGTCCACTCTGACTCATGATTAATTTTACAGCTGTCATGATAGGTGTAATGATGGCATCAATCTTTAGGTAAAGGCCTGTCAAGAAATAAAACAGACTAATAATTTTGTATGTAACCTCTCAGGAGAAAGCAATAGGGTACATTGGCCTCAGCCACTGTGATATTTTAAATTTCTTCGGTCAGACTAAGAAATGAGCCTGAAAAGTCATGAGGGGGATGGGGAGAGGGTGCATGGAGGTAATCTGGTCTCCATCAGTGCAATTCCTGCTGTGAAGGGATGGATGTGAATCTTCAGGGAAGTGTGGAACTGTCAGAAAAGCAGTAGATGGTTCCTGCATAGACAAAGAGGATCTAACCTGAAGCTAGTTGGGACAAAGTATGAGAGGGAGGTATGTGCTTGCCCTTTTTAATTTAGACAGGTCCTGGCCAGATCCTGCAAGGGTTTTTCTTAAGAAGGGAAGCTTGAAGAGGGTAAAAAGAGAAAGAAAGGAGAGGATCCTTTCTTGGGCAGGAGGCACTGGGCACCACTGAGGATTTGGCAGGAGCTTCTGGTGCTGGCCATCCCTGCTCTCAGTCTCTGAGAGTGTTTCTGCTGAAGCTTGTGAAACTTGCCCTGAGACCTGCTTTTCCTTGAACAGAAACACTGCTTTTTGCTGTCCCTGCAGGGTGCCACCCTTCATGTAAAAGCTGCACCGGCGAGGGTCCCTTCTCCTGTTCCTCCTGCAACGCCAGCCTGGTTCTGTCCCACACGGGCGCGTGCGCTCCGCTCTGCTCCCTGGGCTACTACAGGGATGACAGGCAGACCTGCAGACGTGAGTGCCTCTCCCCCAGCCCTCTCTCTCCTTTCCTCAGTGCTCCTACCGACGTGTCTTTTCTTGTTCCTTTGCCTGCTGTTCCTGCTGGCTGGAAAGGAAAGGTTTCAAGTGCCTAAAAAGGCGATGTGAGTTGACAGAGGTGATGAGCTGCCTCAGGAGCAGAGCCTACAGCAGGGCTGAAGTTTGAAAACAGTTGCAGTTTTGTTATTGACCTCAAAGACAAGAGGCTTTGTGTCCTGCTGTAAAGAATCTGCAGGAGCATTTTGTGTAGGTTTCCCTGTGATGGATTCTGAGCTTGATGGAAACCTGGCGAGTCGAGACCAGTTTTAATCAATCCTTACTGAGGCAAACCCCCTCCCCACTGCACTGCCTGCCAGTACATGCCATGGAAGCTACGTTGTAGCATTTATATCCATTTCTCCTCATGTGAAACCCCAGGAGAAACAAGGTACAGCTTGGTAGAGGCAGACCTGAGCCGATCCTAATCATCTGGTGGAACTGATCTGATATTAAGTTGTGTTTTCTCCTATTCTTGCTATCCTTTGTTAATCTCTCAGGGCCTCTCTTTTCCTTTATTATTTTGTGTTCACTCTGGCCCTGGGTTATTCCTCTCATAATTATTTGGCTTGATGCTTCAAAATGCAAAATGGTATGGCCCAAAGATAGAAAAAACTGGAAAAAGCTCTGCTTGAATTGTCCCACTGTAATACACACAAGTAAAAATGAGTGAATAGTGGTTTGGTCACTGTGAACCTGAACACTCAGATTATTGAAGTCCTGCATTACCTTGATTTAAATTCTCTGGATTTATGATAAAATAACTCTGTTACACTGAGTCCAGGGGTCAGTGTCATCCTACCTAGACCAAATTTTGTCACTGATGAGGTCCTGTAGGAGGAAACCAATGTGGTTGTCAGCTTTACCTGCCTTTTGTTGAAACAGATGGTTCTCCTGAAACTATTATTTCTGTCTGATCAGCAGAAATGGAGACACATAGGTTCAAGGAAATAGACTGGAAAGATAGGAAGGACTTGTGCCATTCTTCTGTTGTGGGAAAAAAAAAGCCCAAAAAAAGGATTCTTGCTCTTCTGGCTGGTTTCCTACAAGCTCAACAAAATACTTAGTCTTCTCCTGCAGTAGGGATTCCCTGATTGCTTGCTGCACCAGAATATCTCCCTTCCTAATTAACATGCCCCTTTCTAATTAAAGTTGTCCTGCTGACAGCTCCTGCCTCTGGATATCAAGGTAGACCAGGAATGTTCCTGAGGCCTGCACCCTTCCTGAATTTGGTTCAGGGGCTCAACTTCAAATAGATTTTTTTCTAATTATTATATTTCTTTTGCAAGGCAATTCAGCTACTCTAATCTCCTCATTGCAAATGGCTTTTTAAGAAGTGTTTGTAATCCTTGGAGCAGGAGGCTCAAGGCCAAGTGTGTTGGATTTTTGTCATTCCAAGTGTCACTTGTGCCTTTTCAAGTGCTGCTGATAAGCCACGGAGATCCAAATTGTCCTAGGCTGCTGGGAAACTGCCACTTGGAGGGAATGAAGATTGTTTAATGGGAGGTTGGCTGTTAGGCTGAGAAAATCTGGTCTCTCTTGCACGTTTATTTTAGTCTCTTTGCACTTTTGAGGAACTCAGGGTTGGAATGAGGTTCAGAGAGATGCTGAGTGCACGTATGGGCTCTGGGAGATATTTTTAAACTCAATGACATCCTGGCCCAGGAACAGGGAGAAGCTTAACGAGTCCTTCATGGGCTTAAAAATGCAGATACAGAGTCGTGCTGATAAAACAAGCAGACAGGTTTGCTTCCACACACAGTTTTTGCTTGCTCATCTGGCATGCCTCCATGGGTAGCCTGATTTTTGTGGATTTAGACCTCATGTAGAATGCTTTACTGTATTTTCAATAGTTGGTTCTTTGGAGCACTTTAAAAAAGTGATTTTTTTTTTTTTTTTTTCATGGGGTATTCTTAAGTGAAGAAAAATTGGAGTGGCACCTAACTTGAGTCTTTAGGTAGACATTTTGATCAAAATCATTTGTACATCACTAAAATGCAAACCTTCTGTGACATTTTTTAGAGGAGCTAAAACAAGGAACTGTTTTTAAAAACACCGTGTTCTTGCTTCAGTGAGAGCAACGTGGGTATTTTGACATTTCCTTTGGTATTTGGAGGTTTTTTGGTTATAAAACTGTGTTTTGAATTAACATGTCAGTATTTATCACCCAAACTGTTAGTACAGCCTCCTGTGAAGTTTAGTTTCCTGGACATCAAAGAGGTGAGTTGAAATATTCTGAACCTCTGGACTTTGATCCTAGATTCAGTAAATCCTTGAATTACTTTTTTTTCCTGGCATCTTTATTGCTCCCCGCAGCTCCAGAATTTCACACTGTGTGCAGATAAAAAGGTGGAAACGTTAAGTGAAATTACATGGGCCTTTGGTCCCACCAAGGATTGCAGCAGTCTACTCTGCTCTCCAAATTCTCTTGTTTCTGGGTAAAGAGTTACACAAAATTCAGGTTGCACAAGGGAAATTAAAAAAAAAACCAGAGACAGGGAAAGCTCTTATCTGGGGATTTGGTTTCATGTTTTACCCTGACCTGTCCAGAGGAGAGTAAGAAGCAGCGTGAAGGGGACATTCCAGCAGATTCCAAATGGAATGAGGCTCTTTACACCTGGGAGAACGTGAAACAAAACAAGCAAAAACTCTGAATTCTCCACAGAAGACAAGAGGAGCAGCAAGGCTGCAGGGTTAACACCATTTTTACTCTGATTTTCCTTGTCTTTCCACAGCTTGCAGCAGCCAGTGCCGGAGCTGCGACTCTGCCGCCGGCTGCACGTCGTGCAGAGATGCAGCCAAGGTCCTGCTCTTTGGGGAGTGCCAGGATGACAGCTGTGCTCATCAGTATTACCTGGATTTTTCCAGCAAGACTTGCAGAGGTGAAAGATACCTTGCTGTTTTCAAGGAAAAATTAGAAATAAAAAAGATTTAAAAATTAAAAAAGGAAAGGAAAAAGGAAATAAATACAAGTGCCTTGGCTAAGGATCCGTTAGATGGCAGCGGGAGCTGTGCAGGTGGCCTGCTTTAAAAAGGCTGTAGGAAGGGGTAAATTGTTCAGTGACAGGTTGCTTGTGAGGTTTCTGCAGGTTATTTTTTGCTGTCACATACTTGAGCCTTTCAGTGGAACAAGATTATTGCAAATCGCTCTCTTGTAAATGATTTTGTAACTGAGCCAGCAAAGTTTTCAGGGGTCAGGTCCAGCAATTCATTTAGTCACGGGTCAGCTGATAACGAGTGAGCTTGCCAGGATAAGTCTCTTTTAGGGGGCTTATCTGGCCTCCTCTACTTACCTGTCTCTCTCTCTCTCTGTCTTATTAAATCCTGCATCACTGGATGGCTGTGCAGAAACAGCAGTTTGGAGTGATTTAAAAGACATGTGACTTGAAAGATTTCCAGAGCTCCCCAGCAGAGTGTTCCATAATGAAAATAAGTGATATTTTCCCACAGCTAGTAGACCCCGAGTGCCGAGCCCTTGTGCGGGGTGAGCACCCCAGAAAGGGCTGCCCTGAAGTGATTTTTGTTTTCTTCCAGAGTGTGATTGGAGCTGTAACGCCTGCAAAGGTCCCCAGAGGAATGACTGCCTGCAGTGCATGGAAGGCTATGTTCTCCACGAAGGAGCCTGTGTGGAAGAGTGCCCTGCAGCTTTCTACCGGGAATCAGACACGTGCCAGAGTGAGTTTTTATGGAGCATTGCTTTCTGACGTGTTTCCCTGCTGGTCTCCCATGTCAAGTTGAACTCTTCTCCTGTGTGTGGCTCTGTAGGGTGTGATCAGCCCTGCCTTCAGTGCCACCAGGCAGACAAGTGCAGCCTTTGCCCAGCCCCGTTCTTCCTCCTGGGCAGCCTTTGTGTTCCCAAATGTGGGCAGAGACACTTCCCAGACGAGGCACAGCGCCGGTGCACAGGTGAGCACAGCGAGCTTGGTGCAGGGACAGTGGGCAAACGAGGAAGGAACTTGTTGCCCACTTCTGTCATAACTCTCTGCCCGCTGTCTTGACTCTTTTTGTCAGGTAGGTAAGACACACACCCTAAGTGGTGTTTGTGCTCTGACCCTGGGCATGGCTCTGCGTGGTTTTGCAGTGTCTCACTGGGGCTTGTGCTTTCCACTCGGTGCAGCTTGTCCTCCTGGATGCCTGGAGTGTGACAGTGACAGCCTGTGCCACCTCTGTGATAGCACCACGTTTCTGAAGAACAAGACCTGTGTTTCTGCCTGTGGCCAGGGTTTCTATGGCAATACACGGAACAGGGAGTGCGAAGAAGGTGAGTGAGACAGCACCATTTATCATCAGTGTAAAACCAGTGACAAAATATCTTGGGGGAAATCCCTTCCTGAATCGAGTTCAGTGGCTGCTTATCCATTCTTTCTTCTAAATGAAGATTTACTAACCTGTCTGCAGGGCAAGCCAGAGTGTGTTGGCTTTTAATTCTGTGATGGGGAAATCAGGGCGGGAAGTGATTTACCCAAGTCGTGGTGGCGATTGGGATGGATTGCAGTCCACCTGGAATCAGGAACGAGCAGGGCACCCAAAAACCAGCGGTGACAGGCAGGATGCCAGCACAGCCCGCGGTGATTCCTGCAGTAACCCCTCTCCCTTCTTTCCCTTCAGCCAGCAGGCACCCCTCGAGCTCCCGTGTGAGCAGCACCCTGGCGGTGGGGATCGGCGGGGTGCAGCCCCTCGACCTGGCCTTGCTGGGTGCGTGTGATGCTGCCGGTGCCTCGGGCCAGCCGCTGTTCCACGTGGAGAGCGTTCCCTCCATCGGGCGGCTGGTGATGCTGCGGGACGGGCGGGAGCTGCCGCTGAGCCGCGGCCAGCGCTTCAGCTGCAGGGACGTGCGGGAGAGGAGGGTCCGCTTCGTGCACAGCACACAGGAGCCCAGGTGATTGCAGGGGAGATTTTTTTTTCCCCGAGTTTTTGCCTCACAAAAAAATTGTTGTGTCTTGAGAAGGGCTATTTCCTTCTTCCTTGGAAGCATTCCTGCAGGGAGGCACGCTTCCCACTGTGGCTGAATCAACTTCCAGCATACTTACACTGTACCATAGTGTAACCGGTGGTGCAAAACCTGTCAGTTCATGGTAGAAGAGGTCACTGTGACCCAACTCCCAAACCTGCTGTGCTTTTAGGGTGCAGCAGTCGGTCCCATCTTCAGGATACTCAGAGTTAAAACTGGCATGTTATTAGTCTGATTGTTACCACAGTTTCTTGATGCTGTTAGGAAGATGCTCAAGTGACATCACTGCTGTGCTCTGTGGCATAGTTTGCCTTCAGCCATTCCTCGTTATCCTTCAGTATGAGCTGTATTAGTACCCTAGAATAATTAGTGGTGATTAGTGACTGGCAAAGCTCACACTGGAGGGATGGTGCAAGGAAGCAGGTTTTTCCTGCAGCCAGGCAATAAGCCAGCCATGCTGCCAGATTTCCCACTTGATTTGCATCACCTTAAAGCCTTGGCAGCAGAGTGACGTCGGTGGAACTGTTCTGACTTTTTGGCTGTATAAATCAGGGAGGTCTTTGATGTAAATAAGATCTGAAGAAGACTTTCAGGGTGTGCTGGTGCCAAGGGTTAGTTGGCGTTCATCAGACTCGAGGCATTTGTTTCTGTGTCCTGCTTCTTTTTTTTTGTTCATCTTCCTGGTAGTCACCATGACATGTCAGCATCTCGTCTCGAGAAACAAAGCTGCTTTATTACTAAATATTACTCTATTTATTATTCATACTGTTACTTTAAACTTCAGGGTGTTTGGGTGGCATCACTGAAAAATAAATGAGAAGGAAAAATCCTGGCAAGTCCTGAAGCCAGATAAGTGACATTTTTGTTTAGCAGCGAGTGGCTGACATTTCCAATTGGCACTTTATCCTGGGGATGCCATCTGACGTGGATAACGCTCCTTAAAGGGAGATGAGGGTATATTATTGCACAGCTAAAGGTGTTTTTTATTACCTGTTGTGACTGTTGTGAATCTTGAGGTAAAAATACTATAAAAATGTAATTGAAGAAAACTTGAGCTAAAGCTTCTGTCACTGAGCCAGTCATTTTTGCTGAATATATAATGTGCTTGTCATTCTCGAGTCCTGGAAGAGTACTTCATTAATTTATATTATCCTGTGTTTTGGCTTGCTGGGGACCTGTTTAGGAAAGGACAGTTTTCCTTGAAGGTCAGTGATCAGCAATCGTTCTCCCACCTTGAGGTGATCAACGTTCAAGCCTTCTCAACACAGGTAACCAAGCCTGGAAACAACCTCAAATTTTGTACCATTTGAAGCCCTGGTTTCTTGCAGGGATAACAAAAAAGCTGGGCAGAACTCGAGCAGGGGTTCAGATCGGGCAAATTGGACTCAACTCTCCCTTAGGGGCGACAGCCGAGGGTCACATGGAGCAAAGGGACTTGGGGAATTGACTGGAGAAGCTGGCCTGTGTCATCTTGCTTGTGCAGGGAGTTGCAGCTCTGCAGTCACAGAGCAATTATCAGCAAGGGCTAAGGAATCCCTACTGCTCCAATTATCCTTTGGATCTGCTGATGCTCCAGTTCAGCCTCTTGCTGCAGGGCAATCGGGCCAGGATTGATCCCGATGGCAGGAAGGCTTTGACGTTCAAGTTCAGTGCTCAGTTCGAGGGCGGCTGGGAATTAAATCAGCATGAGCTATTTCAAGTTTGTCTCTTAAACTTCTCACCACTTGTGGGCAAGGTGATGGTACTGCCTGCTGTCCCTGTATTACTGTTATTTAAAGTCTGTGGGACAATACATGGCTCTCACCCCAGAATGGGTACAGGCACCTTAAGGGGTTCTAGGTTTCCAGGGGGGCTTTGCAGCTTGCACTGAGCTCAATCAGAAGTTGTGACTACTTGGCATATCCTTTGCAACCTTAAAGTGCAAAAGAGAATCTGCTGCTCTTAAGGCCCATTTGCATCCTCAGAGGGGCACCAAATGACTTTACAGAACTCTTTGGTGCTGGCTCCTTCCTGCCTACAAGCCTGGCTCAGCCTCCACCCTCAGCACAAGTAATTTATATTCCATATTAGTCATTCCCATAACTTCTGGAAATTAGAAACGCTCTGGTTTGTCCTTTAGAATAAGACAAACTGTGGGTTTTGATCCTGCCGTGTGTATATTGATTCTGGCTGGTGCAGAGATTTTGGCTCAGCCTAATCTCTTGTTTACCTCAGCAGGACATTCACCTAAGTTAGAGCTGCAGTCACTGCCCCAGAATACATAAGTGAGGTTTAATGATAGGAATTTTGCCTGATCATCCCTGATAACCCTGGGAATTGGTGCACAGGCGAGGTGGCAGCAGTTGGCTCCCTGATGGATGTTCCCAGGGCTTTGACTTGGTCTCTGCGGGACCGCCTCCCTCCCGAGGCAGCGCATTACCCTTGGCAAATGATGTTTGTTGGGATCAATAGAGACTGCAGATTGAAACTTTCATGATGACAAAGAACTGGAGAACTAATTTAAACCAGCAGAAATATGGCCTCTAGCAGATCTTTGGTATAAGTTGAGTAAGGCTGTGGGGAGTGTTGGAAATGAAATAAATACTGATGATGGAGGCACCCAGTTTTGCTGTCATCTTAAAAGGCCAATGAGGATCTGCTAGTCAGATGCTTCCTATATAAATGTCCTCAGTTTTTGCCTTTCCTAAGCCTAATGTGGCATGAGAATCTCCTTTTAATGGCACTAATTCTGTTTAAATGCTAAATATTATAAGATCTGCCCATCGGGGGGGAAAAGGTGTGGAGAGTGATTCTCTGCTGCTAAGAAACAGGAGATTTCCAGGTGTGAAGTGAGCTGATGCCCTTATCCCCAAACTTTTAATTCCATCCTTTGATCGTGATCCAGTCTCCCAGGTTCACCAGACGCCTCAGAGCTGCTTTTGTGTTCCAGGCCCCGTACGTGTTCAGGAACGAGCCCCTCCTCGTCGGCAGAGGGGAGACAGGGACGGTGTCGGAGCTGGTGCTTGGTGTGGGGGACAGTGACAATCCTCAGGACGTGGTGCTGATGGTTCTGGAGCCTCCACGCCATGGGAGGCTGCTGGGGCCCTCTGGGGACCCCGCCACCTTCCGCCTGGCTGACCTGGCGGGCGGGCGGCTGCGCTACGCCCACGACGGCTCCGACAGCCGGCAGGACGCGGCTCTTCTGCAAGTGAGCGACGGGTACCACTTCCAGAACATCCTGCTGCGCATCAGGATCGCTCCCAAGGTATGTGCCAGCACATAAACCCTGGCAGGCAGATTGAGAGCGTGGAGAAGTGCGGCTCTGTCCCTGAGGTGTCACTAATCCTCAGTAAGCAGCCGGAGAAAGGAGTGGATGGGTTGGGTTTTGGAGGTCGCCCGAATTTTTGGTTTGCAGCAGCTCAAGTCGTGCAGCTTCCATGATTCAAAGTCCACAGTTCTTTGATAAAAAGTAATAAACTGTAATAAGAAGAGAAGGAGAAAAAAGCTGAAGATATCTTCATTCCTTATTCATGTGAAAGAGTAACAAAAAGTAGAGCTGTCATTAGAGCTGCCAGTAGAGAAGGTCACAGTTTGCAATCTTTTATGTAGAGATCTGACACAGTGTCTTCGAGTTCCCTGGGAAGGAGTTAGGAGGAGATGACATTGCCCCTCGTTTGCCCTCTCTGCTGAGTCAGATGTCTTTCACAGCCACTTGGGCATGAGAATTTGAAGGGAGCGTGGCAAGCACTCTGTGCATCCGTGGAGTTCCACACACTGAGGCACTGATCCCATTTGGACCCTGCAGGTTCTCCTAAAGCTACGGTAGTAATTAATGTTAATTAGCACAGTGACTCACAGCGCTCTGGGGATGAAAAAGGAGTTGCTTTCAAGGCTGGTGCTGTTATTAGACTCCTGGAATGAGAGGAGCTCTGCCTGTGGTTTCTTCACCCAGACGGCTTCCATGGCTCTAAGGAGCCTGTATAGGATCACAAGGACTGTGAAAATGCTTGGACACCACTCTGTGTTCTTTGTAACGCCTTTTTTCCCCCCACTGTTGATTAAGCAGGTTCTTATAAATGCCAGTGAGGGTGAAATGCTGAGAGTAGTTCTTTTATTACCCTGTTTCAGCCTCCCTCGTCTCTCCTTATCATTCCACGTTTCTCTGTGCAGCACTTGGCTCCAGAGGAGAACGAAGGTGGTGACAGAGGTGAGAGCAGGGCAGCTTTCAGGGCTTTTTCCAGTCCCTTTGGTTGCTCATGGCTGCTTTTCCCATCCAGACCCTTTGCTGGAGCTGTTGCAGTCTGAAACAGGGACGTGGAAGCCTTTCTTTTCTGCGAGGCCAGGAGAAACACAGGAAAAAAAGGCAAAAGATGTTTATTTTTGGGGAACCCCAGACCTCTAGAGATTCAGCTAAGGGAGGTCTCCAAGGTATTTGCAAGGCAGCTGACCTTGCCTTGCCTGGGAGCAGGTAGCTGGAGCATGGGCCAGGGAGCTTGTGAGCCTCCCTAAGCTCTCTGAAAATGCTTTTACTGTGCTGTGAATTCATTCATGTTAAATATGTTTTTAAAATAGATTTCCAACTAAAAAGGGCCGTCTCATGAGTCTGTTCTTATTAACAAGCAGCATCAAAGCCATGTGGGAATGGCATCACAACATGCTGGGTGGGTTTGATGTGGCCAGTGAAGGAACATTCAGTCATTTAGTGACCTAAAAGCTGAAGGTTTCCATGTTTATAACAAACCCACAGTGCAAGTGGAGTACAAATTAGGTGGGTGCACGGCACACATGCCAAAAAGGAGGTGGGAAATCATCCTGTAATGGGGTTCCTTTTCACCAACATCCTTTTAGCTCTCTCTCCTGTCTCTGTGGCAGATCCAGAACACAGCAGTGAGTCATTTATCAGCTTGATTATGTGGAGTAGTAAATGAGGAGGAAGGATCTACCCTTAGATGGAGCAGTCAGGGTTTTGAATGATCACACAGCTCAGGGTGAACTGCAGCCACAGCCAGTTTCAAGGTGAATGTGCCGAAATCCAGAAAAGAAGTCACTTTTACAGCAGCTGGGGTTATAAGAAAGAGCCATGGCATGGAAGAGGTCACAGGGATTTTGGTGACCTGTCCAACGAAGCAAATTAGAGCCAAAAAAGAGCTGATATAATCCTCAAGTGCCAGAGTAGTGGTACTGAAATAAATGGAAACTGTAGTGAAACTATTGCTGCAATCCAGTGCTGACATTCACATTTCAGGAAGCTTAAACTAATATTAGATAAATATTCATTTGGGAAAAAACAAACCAAAAAGCAACAGGAATGGTTTGAAGGTTAGGAGCCACTGAGTAACTAAAGATTTGGGTGGATGCTCAGAGAGAATGAGGATGGTGGTAAAAGACAAAATTATGGAGGGAGACTTGGGTCAGGAAGGTTTAGGGTCAGCAGCAGGAAATTAGGAATTAGAGGACAAGGTCAGTTCTCCAGGCTGGGAATTGGGTCTGAGGGATTTCTTCAAGCAGACAACCAGGGTGGAATGCATATGGAATTCCAGAATGTTCTCCTTGATCCTCTCTTTCCCCTTGCAAGTCTGTTTCCATCAGCAGGGCGTTGCTCACATTCCAGTTATGCTTTTTCCTGCTGTTCCCCTGCCTGCAGAGTGACAGGAGCCCCCGGCTGGTGACCAATTCCCTGGTCTGGGTGCCCCAGGGAGGAATGCTGCAGATCTCCAAGACAATCCTGCACGCCGAGCTGCCGGGTGCCCGCGACTCTGACATCACCTACACCATCTCCAAGGACCAGCCCAGACATGGTAAATCCCTCTGGAGTTCTGCTCTGCGAGAGCAGCGCCCTTCCACGGTGTTGTGTGCACCAGGAGTAGCATTTGGGGCAATATTTCCTTAGATTGGCACCCTGGGGGAGTGCTGCTAACCTCATCTTTTCCCACTCCTAATGGCCATGTGAAGGAACAAAGCACTTCTGCCTTTCCTGATCATCTATGTTTCTGTGGTGGTGGAATCCTGGCCTATTTACAGCCCTGGGAGAGCAGAATCCTACTGCCAAAAGATAATCCTCCACGGTGAATGTCTGATTTGAGAAGCACAGAGTAGTATCTACCTCTAGAAACTGCTGAGCAAAAGTTTACCTTGAAGAATTCCCTAAATTCCCTGCCATGGGATTTAATTTGTCCCAGAGGAAGGGGCTGCCGACCGAAACGGGAGTTGATGATGTTTGGATCTGTAGATAATTCTTGTCCCCAAATTCCTTTCGAGAAGCTCTGAACTGAGCTTTCACCAGCAGCCCCATGTTTAGGGAGGATCTTCTGGGCACAGCTTAAGGGGGAGTGTGGAAGGTTCTGGGATTTGTGACTGAGCTGTAAACGCAGAAAAACAGGATGAAAAAGAGGTGTCATGCAGAGGGTAACAAAATTAGGACAGAAAACAAAAACGTTCTTTCCTTAATCAACATCACCATTTTCCTCACAAAAACCATGTCTTGGAATATCACATTTTGCACTTGTGAGAAATGGTACCACATTTAATTTGCTGATGTGGGAAAATTAGAGGATCCCTCTAGCAACATCCATGCTTTTTTCTTTATTTTTTTTTTCTCCTTTTGCTGTGAGGACAGGCTGGTTTCCATAACAGCTGCCAGCACCTGATGGAAACAGAGATAATGAGAGTTTTTCAGTTTAGAAGAGAAGTAATTAATTTGTATTCCCCTTTTAGTTTTCTGCAGATGAAGGTCTGTCTTCTCATTTTTAATAAGCATTTACATGAAAACAGGAATTTTTCCCTGAGGAGCTTGTCTCCTGCTGCCTAACCCTAACTAAAATTTATAGTTCTGTGTTTGTATCACCATAATTATTGCTGCTGTGATTAATTGCAGGAACATAAACAGGTTTGTAGCTGCAGGTGAGGAATAAGCAGTAGAAATCAATGCTCTCCAAAATTTTATCTAAAATACTGTTTTGCAGAAAGGGAGGGGAAAAAAAATAAGAGAGACAGAAATGTGGAAAATTGGTCCTGAATCCAGGAGGGCTTATCTGCCTAACTTAGTCTGTGACTAATGGGAAAGATATTCATACCTATAGCAAATATAGAATTTGATTTTTAGGGGAACTCCCATGAGCAAAACCATAAGATCTGGAATGTAATTAGGGTTCTGATAGAGGAATTTTAGCTCGGAGTTTGGTGATGGAATGGAAGCGTGATACTACATCTTGCTGAATTACTTTTGTTGTTGCTCCAACTTTCCAAGGGTGGAATGAAATGGGAGAGCTTAGGATGGATGTTTCACGTAACAGAGTGAGGAATTATCAGCCAGCAGAATTATCAACCTGGTTAATGGAATTAATTAACAAGATTTCCCAATGTCACCGGCACGTCTCAATTTCTGCCGATGGCTTTCGGGAATTCTGCCGGTGTTTCTGTCACTTAACACTGCATGGAAAAAAGCTCTGACTGGGTGGGAATTTGCCTTGGCTGCTCCTTAGTTGGTGCAAAGGCACCTCTTGCTCCCTGTGTTCTCCCAAGCTCCTCTTTGCTTTTCCCAGGGGAAGTGGTGCTGCTGGTCCCGATGCCGGCGGACGGCCCGGCAGGCTCCTGGCAGCTTTTACCTGATGGAAGAGCAGCCTCACCCACAACCTCCTTCACCCAGCAGGACATCAGCGATGGCATCGTGTGGTACAGGCACTCTGGAGCTGAAGTTGAGAGTGACTCCTTCCAATTCCAGGTATTCCTCACCGTGTCCTGTGAAACAGCACGTGGCAGTTCTCTGAGGTTACTCCGCTCGCGTCTCGTGAGCCCGAGTTTTAACAATAACACAGATGTGTGTGTGAATACACCATCCTCTCGTAAAACTTACAATATTTACACCGAGTGAAAATACATTCCAATACATGCCTTTTGAAAAGTGGTGTGTTTTGTGAGCCCCAGAGCCACGCAACCCTTGGTTTCTAAGCTAATGATTTAATTTTGCTTCAGAGCCCTTCGTCTCACAAACGGACCAAAAGCTAGAAATACTTCCCAGCAGCTGGGAAACTGAAATAAATCCCTGCTCCCCACAGGTCTGAGAGCCATAAAATTCCTCAGACAGGTCCTTGCTGTTGGCTGGGAGGGTTTCAGAGCCTCCCTTAACTAAGCCTGCGTGAGCACTGGCACGCAGTGTTTGTTACATCTGGTTACAAGGCAGAAGCAATTACTGTAGCACGGGAGAGGCAATTAAGGTAATTTCTGAAGTAATTAACATAAGTGATAATGAGGAATTTGTGAGCTTCGGTGTTGAACAAGCTAATCTTTGGCTTAATTGCTGCATTCCTCTTATAGACTATGCATTTTGCATGAGTTGAGTGTTTGGGTTTAGTATCTGGGAGCAGCAGTAATTGTTCAGAGAGCTGGGAACACCTGGTCACATCAGGAGACAGTGGCACTCCTGTCCAAGTCTTGAAATTTGGGACATTTCAGGGCCAATGTGTTGTTTTCATCTGTTTTAGGACAGAGCAGGGGCAGCAAATGGTTAAAACGACATTGTTCCTTTCATCAGAACTTATATTTTTATGCATTCTAAAAATTAAGCTTCAGGATGTCCATTCCCACTCAGAAAGTGCTCTGTGGAGTTCCAGAGCACACTGTTACCCCTACTAAAAGATGAAGCCATAACTGAGTCTATCAAAGAAGGGAGCTGTATTTTTTTGGGTGCTTCCTTCACCCCAGGATTGCTGGGATCATTTGCAGGTTCACCTCTAGGGAATGGTTCTGGTACTCTGAGTTTTTACCAGTTTAATAAAATTAGCTTTATGTGTCTTGGCTGCAGGCTTGCAATTAGGAATTAGATACCTTTGACTTAATTTTGTGGTGCTAGAGTGGAAAATACTTATGAGTCTGTGAAACACAATTGCAGTTTACACTATTTATATTATTTATTATTACACTATCTTGGAAGCTGTTGGGATCACAGGGAGCCACTGCCAAGGGGAAGTCTGAAACTGGTTGAGAAATCACTTAACCATTCAAGTGATCTTTCCTTCCCAGGTGTCCAGCTCTGCCAGTCCACAAACCAGCTTGGAAAGCCACGTGTTCAACGTTGCTGTTCTGCCCCAGACACCCAAAGCCCCTCAGCTTTCCCTGGGCTCCTCTTTGCACATGGCTGTAAGTGATAACACCACACAGATGGCTGGAGTAGGAATGGGGGAAAAACAGATGAGAGGAGTAACTGGGGTGGGGGTGCAGGAAATACCCAAGCCAGGGGGAATGGCAAGAGGGGAAAACCTGTGGGTTATGTGGGTAATGAGTGGATTTTGCCAGTGGTTCCACTGTAAACTTGATCCAAACTGTGAGTCTGGGAATGACCATGTGGATGAGAGCGGTCTTTCCAAGGCAGTTCCTTCCCAAGGCTGTGTCGATTGGAAAGATATCTCGGAGTTTAAAGTCGGTTTTGTGGGCTCCCAGATTGTGATGCAAGCCTTCCCTGTGTGTCCCCATCACGTGTGGGTGAAGTCCAGCTGTTCCCTCTCCTTCTCCTGTTCTGTATGCCAGGCATGGGGCCGGGAAAGGCAAAGGAAGCCATGGGAGAGCGATGAGTACAAAGTCCATGGCACAGCAGCCTTGTCAAGGTTTAAAATAGTGGTGACCTTTCCTGGGTGATAATGAAACATGGTCAGACTGCTGCTTGGAGCCATTTCTCTTCCTGCTCCTGACTTTTTGTTGTTGTCATTATTGACGAAATTGATGGGAGAGATGTCTGGTGGAGCCGTGCGGCACTGGGTTTTATAGCTAATTACTCCCCACAAAATTCAATAGGGCCATAAAACACCTTTTACCTCACCACCTGCGAGTCCCACCTTTGGGAGAGACAAATGGGCCTTGGAGGCAGCGAGGAAGAAACATAACCTTAAATCTTTCCGTCAAAAAATTGCACTTGCCCTGCCCCAGCGTGATCGAGTTCCGTTCATTCGTCTTCAGACTCCTTCAGAATGAGACTTCTAAAGCTGAGAGGAAAGCACAATGTTTTGAGTTCTTCCCATCCCTCTAGCCTTGACTTTGACTTGTGCTGCTGAGAAAGGTCAAGGGAAGTTCCATGACTCTTTTTGTTAAACTGGACACAGCATCTGTATTGGTTTTTCTTCAATCCAGTTAACCTGCTTCCCCCATATGGGAAACCCTATATGGGTTACCCTATATGGGTAACCTTTCATCTTCCAAAGCAGATTATTTAAGTGCCCATATCCTTCATTTAGCTTGTTCTCTCCCTGTTTTGCTCGAGATTATGAAATGAGCTGGATGCTTTTCATACCCAGCTGAGCTGTTTAATTGGCGACTTCTCGGAGCTGCTAATTCTGCAGGATTAAGGTCCATGAACTTGTGGAAATTAACTGGTTTTGGGCACTTGAGTCTCTTCAAGCAGCCTTGTAATTCCTTTAACGCCCTGCCTGCCTTTGGCTCACAATAATCTTGTTATGGAAGGATCAGAGCCATTTTAGACAGGTTTAAAACAAAAGGGAAAGCTTTGGTTCCTCTGTATTCCAATGGGAAGGGCTGAGTCATTTTCAGGGTTTCTTTTAAATGAGGATCCAGTCCAGCCACATCAGACTATATGAGAAAACCACACAGACAATGAATTTCGTGTTCATCCAGGGAGTTCTTGATCCAGCTAGGTTTTCCTTCCTCTCTTCTGAATTGCTGCAGGCCAAAAGAAAAGCCTGACCACCCGTGAGTGTGGAGGTCTTGCATCTTCAGGAGTCAGGGGGTCAGGCTCAAGTTTAAGGACTGGGCCTTCACATTTAAAGACTCTCTTATATTTAACTAGAGCAAAGCAAATTCTCTTTCAATGCGTTTTTGGGTGAATCTTCCCATGTCTCTGGCCTTGATGCTCATGGTCTGATGTGTTTATTGAGGTGCTGGAGGACCGTGTGACAGTGATTGAGCCCCATCACCTCTCCTTTGTAGACCCGGAGATCCCCAGTGAGAAAATCCTGTACAACGTGACCGTGCCTCTCCTTCCTGGGCAAGGCAAGTGAACCTGTTGCTGCTTCATTAATTGCCATTTTTCTGAGCACATCTCCTTCTTCCCTCAGAGTATCACTCCGTGGAGGCACCTGTTAATACATTTGGCCTCTCTCCTTAGCTTTTAAACACCTTGTTCCTTAACCCCCCTTTCTTTGGCTTCTTCCTGAATGTGCTGCAGAACTCAGTCTCCTAGTGGGAGGTTATGTGAAGAAATGCTTCAGTGAGGGAATCCCTGTTTAATTTCTCTCGTCCCTAGAGCCCGTCCTCGATGCACTTGCATCCGTACGGCTCATTCTGGAGTGGGTACAAAGAAGTACCCGGGGAAAGCAAAGGAAGCTGTGGAATCAGATGGAGTAATGAAGCCCTCCTGGTAATGGTGATGTCTCTGCATCCACAGGTATTGTGGAGCACAGGGACAGGCCTCTGTCCCCAGCCAGGTTCTTCACCCAGGCAGACATAAACCACGGCAGGATTGCTTATCGCCCGCCGACCGCCGCCCCTCACCTCAGGGAGATCATGGCCTTCTCCTTCGCAGGTGAGTTCCCCCCAGTGCTCCTTGCAGGGCTGGGACAGACAGCTGGACAGCTGCTGTTCCTCCTTGCTGAGGAAAGATTCCTGCCCTGCTAAACGTCAGCGCTTGCCGTCTCCAAAATCCTCCAAGTCCACATCAGCGCGTGCTTTCCTGTCCTGACCGCAGTCACTCTGTGCTTGTGTTTGTCCCGCCAGGTCTCCCAGAGTCCGTGAACTTCCGATTCACAGGTATGTGAAACCACTTGCTCTTTCCTGGCCAGAGCAATTTTCATCCTTCTTCTGCCCTTCCCATTGCCTGTTACTCCTTGGCCTTTGTTCTGCTGCAGGCACACCTGTGGGCGCTCGCTAGGAATTTCTGGAAATGCTTCTGCCTGGGGAATAACAGTTTGTCTGGTTCCCAGCAATGTTTTACAGAAGCTGAGCTGCAGCTTGCTGGAGACATCTTTTTCCAGTGGCTGCCTGGAATCAGTTCTAAAAGCCTGATTCATTCCTCTTGTCCCCCAAGTGTGAGCAAGGAGTTTTACACTCTCATTTTTTTTTAATACAGCGTGGAGACATTTCTCTAATTAAATTCACACAGATAAGCTGCTTGCCTGTTTAACACATCATTCTGTTCCCATGTGCTTTCTGGCTTCCACCAGCAAGGAGAAGTCCATGTTCTGGGTTAGGGGCAGAGATAAATGCTCTTGGCCTGTGTGAAGTGTGTGTGTGTCTGACCACAGACAGAGGTCCGACCTGGAAAGGTGTGGGAGATGAGTCAGGGATGTGGGATGGTGACTTTTGTACAGACAGGTGAATTTCCCAGGTGAAGGGCCCCTGCAAACCCATCCCTGCACTCAGGCATGGTTTCTGTCTGTGCCTAGTGTCTGGTGGGGAGCACACGACCCCGGAGATGGTGTTTGTCATCCACCTGCTCTCCGCCGAGCAGCAGCCTCCCGTCTTCCAGATCACAGCTCCGTTCCTGGAGGTCAGCCAGGGGGGCAGAGCCACCATCGGTGAGTGGGGGGCGTGGGGCAGGGTGTGGGGCTCAGCTCACTGCCAGGAGGCCCAGGTTCACTTGCACAGGGGTCACTTGAGAGCCACTCGAGGGGAGAATTCCCTGGTACAACCTGAGCATCATCAGGGGACAAACTATTTCAGTGAAACTTGCAGCTCTTGGGCTAGGGAAGCTCCAGAATTATTTCCTTTTCTTTTCTTTACTTTGTGCTGACTGAATTAGGGTTTTTTTTGGCTCCATTCACACAAGCTGTGCTCTCTTTCCCTGGCACAGGGGTCCAGCTGGCTGTAAGTGACACGGACACAGCTCCTGAGGGGCTTTTCTTTGAGCTGGTGAAACCTCCCCGTCATGGCATTGTGCTCAAGTACAGCGCAGATGTGCAGGAGCTCATGAGAGCAGGTGAGTGGAGTAAGAGTTTCAGTGCAGGAGAGGGGTCAGCCTGGCTGGTTTAGCTGAGCAGGAGGAGATGCCCCTGGCAGATAAGGATGCATCCACAGGGAAGCTGTGAGCTCACAAAGCTTTTGGGAAGAAAAAGGAAGGTTGCTGCCCTCCTTGAGAATCACAAGGAGTCGCTGTGTCCCTGGAGCTGGGGAGGTCACAGCTTTTCCTCTGCCCTGCCAGCTCCTTAATCAGTGTCCTCATAACTCACAGGCCTGTCAGGATGGGATTAATTGCCAGTTTAGTTCTTGGTTAAGGTCGTTTGAGTTGGATTCCTGCTCTGAACAGAGCCTTTCTGACTGGTGTGTCTCCTCCCTGGGAAGGCGACACCTTCACCTATGAGGACGTCACTCGGAATGCTCTGCAGTACGTGCACGATGGCTCAGCAGCAGCAGAGGACAGCATGGAAGTCTCTGTCACCGACGGTGTCACCACAGTCACCACACTGCTGAGGGTGGATGTGTCCCAGCTGGACACCCACGGCCCACAGCTGGCCCCAGGCTGCTTGTTGGCCGTCACTGTGGCCAGCAAAAGCTCTGTGACCCTCTCCCGACAGCACCTCGCTTACACGGTGGGTTTTCATTTGTTCCTGAACCTAGGGAATGCTGCCAGCCCCCCTTTCCTTATCCCACACACACCTCTCTGCTGTCAGCGTGGATTCTGGGTAGAGAGCTCAAGTTCTGACTGCTGCCAAGAAGGGGATAACACACTCTTTCATCCCACAGGGGTTTAAGGTTATCCCCATTTGACTGTAACAGAGGTGAACTGCCATGCTAAACATGAGAACCTAATTAATCCCAGATTCTTCTATCAAACAGACTAATAAAGCACATGGATTTGCTAAGTGTTAATCCCTTGAAAATTTCAGCCTCCTCACCCACCTTCCAGAATTACCTGGTTCTTTTTCTGGGCAGGTTTGAAGGGGGAAGGATTTAACAACCCCAAGATGCTGCTGCAGCATCTTGGTAGCTCGGTCCCAGGGCTTGTGTGCTGTGCAAGAGTTATCCTGCTGGTGACCTTCCCAAGAAAGCTCTGTACTCCTTGCAGATGATTTAGCAACCTCCTGAGGGAGGAGAGATCTGAGCTGAGAGAAGCTGGCTGTCAGAGAGGTGATGGGGAATTTTATTTTTTTCCAAGGTATCAGTCTGAATTCGAGTCTGGAATCTGTCCTGTCCTCCTCTTAAGGCCGAAGGCTGACAAGGGAGCTGCTCAGGTTTAATCTGAGCAAGAGGACAGCTAGGGAAAAGAGGATTTCACTCCTAACCCATTTGCTCAGGATGTGTTGATTTCTGCTCTGGGTCTTATTTTTCAACCACCTAACAAAACTCCTCTAAGAAAGATGACGTCTGAGTTGTGATACTGTAGTGTGCTTGTACTTAATGTGGTTGAAAAGAGACAAAATCAGCTTTTAGTTCAGTTTGAAGTACTTGGGAAATGAAAATACCAGGTTTATGTCTGGGAGACTGTGTTCATGTGATACAAGGACATAGAGAAAGCCTTTCTGAGCTGAGAGAAAATGAAAGTACGTTTTATGATGTGTTTAGAAAATGTCAACCCTCTTGACTCTCTTCTCATCAGTAGAGCTTCATTAAATATTCATCTGTGGGTCTGACCCAGCTAGGCAGGTATAATTCCCTAGAAAATACTTATTTTTCCTTCCACTTTTAGTGGAACAAAGCAATGGCTAATTTTGCCCTGTTTTCATTTGGTTTGCTTCTTCATGCTCAGGACAACAATTCTCCTGACTCAGAGATCAGAATCCAGTTGATATCTCTGCCAGCCTATGGAACCCTCCTAAGGATGTCAGGCTCCCACAGTGAAGAGCTTTCCAAGGTTTATAATTTCACCATGGAAGACATCAACAGCCAGAGGATCAGGTAGCAAAGAGCACTGTGCTCCTTCAAGCCACACAAGTTAAAAACTCTCAGTGGGCTTTTCCCCAGGGATCTCTGGGCTACTTAAAATAATTCAGGGAATGAATTTGAAGGTGGGTTGGGAACTGAGACACTGCCTCTCCTCCAAGGGGATTGCACTCACTTGTAACTGCAGGGATGGGATGCATCTGCCTGGGGGTCAGGGAGACTCCCTGACTCCCTGTCTCCTGATCCCACAGCTACTCCACCACGTTTGAGACCAGCAACCAGCCTGTTACTGACATCTTCCACTTCTCTGTGCTGGATGCAGACAACAACCGGCTGGACAGGCAGATGTTCACCATCACCATCACATCTGCCCTGGCACCGCCCGCACTCATCGCCTTTGCCGACCACATCACTGTGAGTGGCTGCCCAGGACCCTGGGGATGGGCACAGGGACAGGAATGGCTGAGATGGGAGCAGCTGAACAGTTTTCCTGGACTGGGGGGGAAATCACTGAATAAAACGTAGTGCCGTGCAAAGGGTGAACGAATCTCTTGGAGGCCAGAGGAGGCTGACAGTCCATCTGCATCCCTGAACTTCATCTGTTAACATCTGTTCTAGTCAGGAGCTGCTTGTCCCTAGCTTGTCCCTTCTTGGTATCAGTGGAGCAAGTCAGATTTATCCCTACTGAATGTTTCACCCCCGATTTCACCAGTGTGTGTGCAAGAGATGAGCAGAAGACAACGCTGGAGACACTTGGTGCTTTGGACTGACACAGAGCGTTTCACACTCCTTACCAAAGCCTTTGGAAGTCATCTCCCTCCTTTTCAGCTTTGCATTCCCCCTCCCTTGCCTTCCAAAGACTCTCCACAACAAGAAATGTGCAGGTCTTGCCTTCTGAGCGGTCACCATGACTCTGCCTGTTCCCTTCCTGCCTTGATAAAGAGCTCACAGGTTCCTCTTGGAGGCCAGGCAGGCTTTGTTCTTCCCATCCCACCCCTCCTCCCTGCTGAATTCCCGATTCGCAGACCTAGGGGAGGATGGGACAGCGCTCCGGAGCCCGGACAAGCCTCTTCCAGGGAGCCAGCCTCATTCAGTAAGGATTTGTGTTGTCTGCTGTTGCTTTGCAGGTGGATGAGGGAGGCAGGGTCCTGCTGCTGGCTCATCACCACTTGACTGCTGATGATGATACTGCTGCCAGGGAGGACCTGAGGGTCACTGTGGTCACTCTGCCTGTGTATGGCTCACTCTGCCTGTGTATGGCTACATCGAAAACACCAGGACAGGTAAACTGCTTGGCTCTGCTTTCTTTCTCCTGGCTGGTTTGTGCTCCTAAGAGGAACACATCTGTCACATGCCACGGAGGGGATTGCTTGTGCTGCCTCTAAAACTGCGGCTTCCCCAGTGCCCGTTTTTAACACAGCACGTGTTGCTTCCCTCAAAGGCCACAAGATGTGGGAAGTCAAGTTGTAGAAAGGAACCTCCCTCCTTCTGCAGCCTTCGCAATGTGCCTTTCTTCCCCTCATCCTGCTGGGTTTATGTTGAGT